TGTAAAGATGGTTCTGAAAATCAGAATGATTGCACTGCATGAGGTGGGGAAAGAACGGAATGAGATAAAGAAAAACTAAGAAAAGTTCAGTTATATATCAGTCATATATTCAGGGCTGTTGTAAGGGGAGGGGGGATAGATTAGGATGATTCAAATGGCCACAAAGAGATGGGACCCAAAAAGATTGTACACTTTTTGTGATGTTTAGACTTAAAACATTCTTAATGAAAATGCCTCATTTATTAAATGATAACTGAAGACTAGCAATGCATCCTGCATTGTCACCCCTCCAGTAGGCCCCTCTTTGTAAATGCATGTGCAAATTTCAATTTTAATTCAAGTGAACACAAAAAGCTTTTAAAAGTGCCAGGAAAAAAAAAGAAGAACAGCAAAAATGGAGAAGACATATGTCAATATTGGAGGAAATCCCTGATCACGTTATCAGCCCCTGGGCACAAATGTCAGTTGGGCACTTACCTGGCTACCTTATTTGGGTTGTCAGGGAATTTTTACAGTATCACAGCAGGTTACATTAGGGCTATGAAGCACCACGATGGTAGCATACTAACCGCGGTGTTGGGCACATCACTGCTATAAGCACTCTTTTTGTTCTAATTGGGACAAACCAACAGCAAGACTACACACACATTTATGAGATCACAGGTTAACAGAAACCCAAGTACTAATGCAACATTTCCCTATAAAACATGCGTCTGCTCTTGACAAGTAAAACATTTAGCCCAGCAGGCAGTTGACATTTACACAATAAAGATCAAAAAAATCAGCAAATCCTCAGCTAAAGCATGCTGCCACAGTGGGCATGGATTTTTTTAAATATACTTATAGCGTACCTCTGATGATTTTATGCACAAAAGTAAACATCACGTATCGCATTAACGACAATTTTTTTATATATTTGGCTTTAGAAAGGGACATCCTCTGGGCCGCCAAAATATCAGGTCCTGCTTTTACAGATCAGGCACCCCCCAGGCATTTTGAGTATATGGAGCTTCAAATTCAACATACATTACAGTAATGCTAGCTTAGTGCTAAAATAATAGGCAAAGTAATAGTGGATACTGGTAGTTTAAAATTAGTTTATTTACTTTGCTGCTAGTAAAGTATCCCCTTGTGAGTCAAAAGAGCTGCTTTGACTTTCTCATAATTGCCTGCGGGGGGCCACTAGCGGCTTAGGACCTCCTAAACGTGCCCATAAAAGCCATGGGATGATCTGGACTTGACTGGAGGTAAAAGTGGATTATCAAGCTGTATAGCAGCTGTTAATAGAAAACAAACTTATGCTACAGTAATCGCAGTTGTAAAATGGAAATGATGTGACAGAGCTGTGTAAATAAAACCGTGTCCTACTGCAGTTTTACAGTATTTTGTGGTTTTTCCCTCATAATTCAGGAATGCTGTTGTTAAAAAATTGTCATTTTAATCTTAAAGAGAAGCAGAAAGTGGTGTCTTACATGCTCTAAAGCCTCATCTTCTATCTTTCAGCCTGGGTAAAGTAGTCGGACATATCACAGTAATAAAACCAGAATCTCTCCATAATGACACAACTCCATTTTATGATCTATGGCTGGATAAAATGAAAGTGTGTTTTGCGGAGATTTTAGAGAGCTCTGAGTAATGTATCTGTCCTGTACTAAACAGAAACAGTTCATTACAGAATTCTGCTTTGACAGCCAAGATGCAATGCTGTTGAGAAGCAACATTAAAAAAAAATTGGCCAATAGTGAACAGCATATTGATAAAGAGTAGGGTTATAAAAAATTGGCATATTTTAATATTATGACTAGGGTTTCAGTTTCGGATAAAGGAAATGAGGTGAGGCAAAGGCCCCGAGTTCTTATCAGCACCCCTGCATGTAAAACAATATAAAAATGACCAGGTTGACCACTTTGGAGCAGGCCTGGTGGCAGGACTAATTACACAAAGCAATAAATAAAAAAATGGAGGCACCATCATGGATGCCTTATTTTGCATGGAAGTGGGGGCTTTTTGGGGTAGGGGACAAAAATAAAACTAAAACTGAACTTGAACAAAACTAAAATCAGTAACAATATGGCAGTTCATCACACGAAAGTTATTAGTTACTAACTTACTAATATTTCAGCCTGAACTGCTTTTACAATGAGCCAGTTAGAACAGAGGCCATTTACATATGTCAGTTGTAAAGAACAAGAACAGCCTTTTTTAAGTAAAATGGATAAAGAAAGTATGGAAAATGGTCAGGCAAAAACAAATTATGCCTTTTTTTGTTTATAAACCCACACAAACATTGTAGGCAGATTTTCAGGAAATAAAAAAATATAAGAATACAGTAGGATGTGGGCCCTTTAATGCTTGGTGAATTTGTAAGAGCAAAAAATCAAGTAGACAAGCTCATTTTAATCCATCAACAGAAAATGAACCGAACTGAAACTCCTACATCTGATATCAGTAAATATGAAGAAATAAGCTGAAAGACGTCGACAGCTTCTGTCACTATAGGAAATCCAAGATCCAATTCTGATTCCTGATGTTCTAAACAGGATTTATGCTTTTATTACACTTATGTAGACTCATATTTTTATATCTAACATGCTGTAAATGTCTAACACAGTCAGTGGTCCAGAACATCTTGGACAGACTTTAATGTACTCGCTGGTTTATCTCCCAGATCTTTCCACTACAGGATCTGATTACCTTTGTTTAATATTCCATGCAAGCTTGTGTCTTAACAGCACTATCTGGTGCGGCTGAAAGGAGGATGCCTTCCTCTTTCTGAGTGTTAGTTCCTCAGTTTCTTGCTTGAAATAATTCTAAATGAATGTTCACATCTTGCTCTTCGATCCTGACCCACGATAGAGCCTCTTCTTTAAAGATGTGGTTAAGTGCCAAATCTGTCTCTGTGAGATTACAACTGACCCAGACCAGGCTGGACATGAGCTGTGTAAATCTCTTTGCTCCAGAAAGCACCCTTATCCATCACAGGCTGGACCTTGGGAGTGTCCTCAGTGTAACCCGGAGCTGGGTGAATTATCATGCTCATCGGGGGGACAGAGCGAGCGTAATGCAGAGCAGAGAGGCGCAGCAGGAGCCGGGGAGAGGAGATAATTAGCTGTGATTATATGAGTAGAGGTGCTGAGAGTTTCGCTGGGTTGCCGTGGAGAAGAGAAACAGCGAGGGGGAGGAAGTGTGTTAAAGCGTGTCACGGTTTGAGAGGAATTTGATACGGAGGTGAGCTGGAGAATACTAAACTGATGAATTATAGAGTACATTAGAGGAAACGAGAATAGTAAGACAGAAAGAAAGAAAGAAAGAAAGAAAGAAAGAAAGAAAGAAGGAGCTGGAAGAAATATATATATATATATACATACATATATATATATATATATATATATATATATATATACACATATATATATATATATATATATATATATATATAGATAGATAGATAGATAGATAGGTAGATAGATAGATAGATAGATAGATAGATAGATAGATAGAAAGAAGCTGGAAGATAGATAGGAGCAGAGAGAGAGAGAGAGAGAAAGAGAGAGAGAGAGAGAAGAGAACCTAATGGGAGACTGACCCAGAGGGAAAACAGGATGTATGTTATGAGTATTGGTCACTCAGAATACACTGACCCCTTCATGACCCCTCCACCACCCGTTACCACTAACTGTTAAATGACTCTGAAGACACACAGAGTTCATCACTTTAACTATGTCGATGATCATGACGCAGCAAAGTCCACTCACACTGTTCATTTGTGTCCAGCTGGATTTATATGAACACTGAAAGTGTTACATCTACACTGAAGCTGTTTGTTAGTTCAGAGTAGGCTACTGTGGACATTCACTTATGGCCCAGAGACAAAGAGCACTGATTTAACTGACCAAATGACTTAAAAAGGGGTATACGACCAATTTTTGTAAAGTTTTGCCTACCTAAATTGTTAAGATGTAAACAAAGTTATTCAGAGTGCTTTAAAACACACCTGTCTGGTGAATATTAGAGGCAGAATTGTTCGCAGTGGTGTTGATAGGAACCAGACATCTACAGCATATAATGCCTTTAATTTATTTTTACATCAGATCCCTCTGATTAACTTTGTTTACATCTGAATGACTGAATCATTCAGACTTTTCAAACAGTGGAATTTCCCTGGCATGGGAATGAGATCCTAATGCGTGGCCATGACTTAGTAACGCGTGGGAATGAGATCCTAATGCGTGGCCGTGACTTAGTAAGGCATGGGAATGAGATCCTAATGTGTGGTCATGACTTAGTAAGGCGTGGGAATGAGATCCTAATGCGTGGCCGTGACTTAGTAAGGCACGGGAATGAGATAATCGAGTCGTGGCCACCACTTAGTAAGGCGTGGGAAGGGGATCATGCCTTACTAAGTCATTAGGATCTCGTTCCCACGCCTATTAAGTCATGGCCACGAATGAATTATCTCGTTCCCATGCCTTACTAACTTGTGGTCACACAGGATGTCGCCAGCAGGGCTCTGTAGGGTATCATAAATCAAGAAATAATTAATTAATAGCAATCTTATAACTCTTAACAATCTTATAAGACTTTATAATCTTATAAAGCCACCGTCTTTAATTAATTAGATAGATAGATAGATAGATAGATAGATAGATAGATAGATAGATAGATAAAATGTTCATCAAATTCACCCAACATGAAGGGCAGTTTGTGTTATCAAACAGTGTCCAAAATAGTGTGAACCAAAAATAAAATAAAATAAAAAAAATAATAAACTGTAGCTTCAGTGTCCTTTAGCACACAATTGTGGAGAAGACCAAAGTAAAGAGTCATCAGCACCTTGTTTAACAGAAAGTCTAACAGAAAAGCAGAACAAGAGCAAATCTGGTCCTGAAACACGCGCTGGCTGCGGTGTCTCCCGGGCTGAGAGGGAGTGTTAAGGTGGCTTTAGGGGAGGGGGAGCGGCAGCAGCAGCACTAGCAGCAGCGCGCGTGCACCGGGTCCCACCAGCCACACACAGCTGCTGCTCCACCACCACACACACTTTCCCCTCCGGACACTCACACTGCGCTTTTACGCGCGGCTCGCCACGGCACTGCGCTCAGCGTGATGGGAGGGACAGCGCGAGCATGAGACGGACTCTGGCCACCCTCGTTTACGCCTTCAGCCTCATTCAGAGTGAGTAAAGTCAGCTCGGTGCTCGTCTTCACGCGCTCTACACTCTGCTAAAGTTCGTAGCTGGGTTGAATGAATGTGAGCGAGAGGAAGGCAGAGCGAGTGGACTTTAAAACGGTTTTTCGTTTAACTATGTTTACATTGAACTGTTTTAGATCATTAACTACAACTGAATTACGAATGTACTGATTTACAAACTATGGCGTGCATTTCAAGAGTGTGAATTGATGGTGTTGCACTAGGTTTCATGCAAACGTGTGGATTTCATGGGTTGCTGGTCTTAGTGATTAGTGAATTTAATAAATTGCCCACTATCATCTGTGGGATGGGGGGTATGTTTTGTATAATTAGCTCCTGTTTTCACTAAATAACATTTTACATCCATGCTGAACAAACCAGTGACTGCGGCCTAGTCTGAAATATTTAAAACAAGGCCATCACTCTCTGGGTGAGCTGAATGGTCCACACTTTGCCTCTTCACTTTACACCAGTCAAGTCTTTGTGTGGGGGCCTTTTCAAACTCCTAGACAGCCTAAATCATTGAATCCCTCCCACAACTGGGTACCTTGCTGCGTTTTAAAAGACCCACAAATATTTTTTTTGTCAAGAGTTTCTGTAGATCTTGTCAGTCATGCTTAACACAATTGGTTCATTTCAGATTTTGAGACTATGCAGATGAAAAGATTTGTTTTTGTTGGCGTGGTAGGGATACAATGTGTAACTAGGAGCCAGACTGCTAGAACAGTTTGTAGGGGCTCTTTAACTTTCTGTAGGCCTCGGCTAGAGCTTTGGACTGCTTGGTTCTGATTCAGGCTTGTTGCCAGTTTATTAACAACACCCACCTACCTACATTGATCGGTCATTTTATAGCAAACATCTATCATATAGATGCACATTGTAGGTTTACATTAACGGACTGTAGCTGCACAGTTTATAACCCCACTCTACTGTGTCCGTAGGACCACCAGATATTATTTGGGTGGAGGATCATTCAAGCACAACAGTGACACTGACATGCTGGTGGCATGGTAGTTTGTGTACTAGAATGATTGTAACAGGCATGGCACAGTTGGTTTTTAGACAGTGTTCACTTTAATAGATGTACTGTGTTGGATGTAAAGTAAGAGAATGTTGCTCATCTTAATCAATAAACACTATACTGTGTCCATCAGTGGAAAAACACTGCCATAGGACCACCAGTAACCAGATATTATTTGGGTGGGGGATCACTCTAGGACAACAGTGACACTGATATGCTGGTGGCATGGTAGTTTGTGTACTAGAATGATTGTAACAGACACAGCAGTTGGTTTTTATACACATTTCACTTTATTAGATTTACCTTGTTAGACGTAAAGTTAGAGAATGTTGCTCATTTTTATCAATGGACGATTTATGTTAGTGATCATATAGTCCTTCACCTGGATGAACTACTCTTGGCTGGATATTATTGGCTGACAGATCAACCCAGAAGTGACACTGAGGTGCTTCAAAACAATGCTGATACACTACCATACCACTGCAATGTTGGTGTCACTGCTGTGTAGATAATGGTAGGTATACTGGTAACTCACTATATAAGGAACTGCGAGTGTGCATTACCAATCACTCAGTCAGTCACTGTCAATACAGTAACATCTTGTAAGCTGATTACTTTCAGTCATTACACCTTGAGCCAAGTGCACATAAACTGGACAACACAAAAGAGCTGATGTCTAATTTGTAGTCCTGCCTTCACGCTGTGCTTTGTCCCCCTCTGGATAAGCAAAGTGCTGTTTGACATGCATGTCCTGGTGCTTTGACAATAGGCCATCTGCTATGGAGAGTTGTTCAAAACTCACTGCATTATGAGGAACCACAGCCAAGTTACTGACAAAAGGAATTCATATCAGCTTTGGGCCAGGTTCAAGGAGGCTATAGATAATGAAAGACTACAGGCAACTGGTCCCAAACCTGTGGCTGCTTCAGGAGACTATATGAATACAGCCTGGACTTTTTACAGTACTGTGCAAAGTCAGTGACCATGTGATCATTTATTTATTTTACAGTCAAATGGCCAATGAGTCTTTCAAAGATATTTGTAGAGACATTTTTTCACACCTCCAAAGTTCAGCCTTAGACGTTCGTTGCTTTTCCTGCTTCTCAGAATCCAAGTAATCTCATACTCCATGATGTTGAGGTCTGGACTTTGGGGTGGTCAGTCCATTGTTCTGAGAACAGCAGCAGCTTCTGATGTTTGATTCGCGAATGTTTGTCTATTTGGTCTATGTTCCTTCTCAGTGAGGCTTCCTGACAGCTAAACATCCTTTCAGACTCAAAATATAAGGATGGACAGAAACACCTGTGGATTTTTTCCAATCTGAAGCCAGAGTGGCGCTAGAATTTCTCCTCCCTCTCAAAGATGAAAGCTTTATGTGCTGTTCATCTGATGGGGACAGTTTTGGTGGTCTATCAGGTCTTGCACAGTTGTTAGGAGTCTCATTTTCTCTAAATCTTTTAATAATTTTTTGAACTCCAGTTTTGAAAACGCCTTTTCCTTAACTTGTTTTCCTTTGACTTTCTCCTTCCTTATGCAAGTGGATTATCTCATATCTAATGACCTCAGAAACATCTCCTGAAAAATGACTAACATGTTCTTACTAGATGTTTTGACTGGAAGTTAAATAAATGAATGTTGTACTTTGACTTTTGAACAGTGCAGTGCATGCAGACTGACCCAGTGCCTACTAAAGGCAGGATTGGCATTTGTGTAGCAATAGAAAACAGCAGACAGAAAACTCCAGTTCCACATGCAAATCCATTTCGACATGCATGCACAAACTACTCAGAAGGGGCAATTTTAAAGAGTTAAAGGCGGCAAAAGCAAAGTTTCTGAATGTATCACTGGCAAAATGTTAGCTGTTTGCTTATATATGGTTAGCATCCCAGGACTTGTTAATCCAAAGTGAGGAACTTCTTAAAGGAAAAAAAAGTTTGCTCCTCTTCCACTGATCTGTGACCATCAAGTGTATACTGCTGCTCTCACCATGTTTCTGCAGGAGGTGCTCACCATCTGTTTGAATCAAGCCTCTGCCATCTATTAGTGTAGGCTTCCAGTTCATTTGTCTGTGTTCTGCATTTCTTCCACTCAGCGTTGCAAAGGGGAAGCTTACAGCTCAGCCACGGGAGTCACTAATTAAAGAAATGTTAAACAGCAGCCCTGCACATTTATATCAATTATTCACAATTAGACACCCAAGATCCAAATGATACATCCGTATGTTCTATATCCACACAATGCCTTAGCAATAGGTCCTCAGAGAGAAGTGCAGCATAGGCCCAAACTTTGGAGTACACTCTTAAATATAGGGGCTCATTGTATATGGATACCATAGGATGATTACTTTTGGTTCCCTAAAGAACTTTTCAATGTAGAATTTTTTAAGAAATCATTTCTGTAACAACATGCAAGAGTTTTACACCTATTACAGGCTTTCACTAGAACAATTCAGAACACAGCATCCTGAAAGTAACTTTTTGTAATGCTGCACAAGCACAGAAAGACGCTCGCGGATCTTAAAAAGGAAGTGGTTTAATGAGAGACAGTAAGATGGTCAGACAGTTTCAGGGCAAATCCAAAATCAGAATCCAAAAGCCTTGCAAAAAGTCAAAAAACCAGAAGATACAAAATGCAAAAGCGACCAGAGCAAAAGGGCAAACACAAAAACACAATATCCAAAAAACAGGCAAAGGGTCCAATACACAAGTCAGAAAACCAGTAGAAAAACACTCAGTAGTCCAGTGAAGGGCAATACCTCACAATGAGAACAAACCAGAAACTACTTAAAGCCTGGGACAAACAAACACAGGTGAATTGCATTAATACTCAGGTGACTGAGAACGAGGAAGCTGTGTGTGATTGGTGGAAGGAGTGACATCATCAGGATTGGAATCATGGGAATTGGAGTCCTGGAGAGTATTAGGCAAGGGAGGAGAACCCGGAAGTGTGACACTTTTAATGTCAAAATTATTTCATAGGAAGAAAACATACACTTTCCCACTATCTACTTTATTAGAAACATCTACCTTGTACTTCCACTCACTGGCCATCTGCCTTAAAGCTCCACTATATGGGTGTCAGGCCTGTTGTCAGAGGGTCATTTAGTGGGCAGTGCCCCACTAGCCAATCATCATGCCCCACTAAACCTACTACTTTTTGCATTTATTTCTATTTGTTTAAAGTGAAAGTAAACTTAATGTGCACTGCTGCCTGCTGCGCACGGCTGGTATAAAAGGCTACATCAATTAACACAGGAGGGTTTGCATGCATCTCTTTGTACTGGCTGCATTATTGGACATATGTTTCCTACACTCTCAGAAATAAAGGTAGTAAACTGTCACTGGGGCAGTGCCCTTCTTGTCACTGGGGTGGGACCCTCAAGGGTACATCTCAGTACATTTAGTCAGGGAACATAATTGTACCATAATCCACTGAAATGATATTTTCTAAGTTGTATTGACTTCATACACCCTGTCTCGTCTCCAGGCTTTTTATTTTATTGTTCTGTTTTAAAAAAATTAGGTTACGAAAAGGTACAAATACGTACTTTTCACCTGGAAAAACTTATTTAAGGTGCACAATTGGACCTTAAAACCACTGTTGTACCTTTGAGGAAACATTTACATTGTTTGTACCTTGGTGAACGAAAAATGCACCTGCACAGAACCTTTATTTCTAAGTGTGTAAATGATTAGATGTGAAATGTGGATCTGTTGTTTGTTTCCTTCTGAATGTATGGCTCCTTCAGAACATTTTCTCCCTTGAACTGTCCTTAGTTGTTTTTTTTTTTCTTTGCCTTGGGAATACTCATAGTTGAGAGTGGTCCAACATCCAAAAATACTGGACATTGATGAGGATCTTAGCACTGATGAAGGACTAGAGGATGGCAAACTGTGCATCAACAGATGAGCTACAGCCTCAACATGGAGCACTCTTAAATAAAAATATTGTTACAATATCAAGCTTGTAATAATAGAAGAACCCTTTTGGGTGTGATAAAGAACGCTTTTCAGACAGGTTCTGTATAAAACCATGTACGGCACATGCTCAACCAATCTGAAGAACGCTTTTATGATGCAAATAATCCTTTAAATCATGCAAAGGGTTCTTTGAGTCTTGATGGTTCTATACAGAACCATTTTCTTTGCTAAAGAACCCTTGAAGGATCATAATTTTGAGGGTGTGGCGCTACAAGGGAGTGGTTTCTAATAGAACAATCAGTATTCAATCTGTATCACAGGAGATATTTCTTCTTCTGTTTTCACTAAAACAGCTGTTGTATGTGGATTTATGATATTATTTATATTACAATTATAATGTCCAATTGTGGTAATAAAGACTACACCTACATTAAAAATATCAAAAGATTCTTTACTTATGTTCTCTGTGGTGCTGCTGGCTGTTCCTCTTCCTCTTCTGCCAAGCATTTTAAGTTTGCTAGCTGATTGTGGATTCAGGAACAGATCCTGCTGTAAGGTAGAGAGGCTGCAGAGTCAGCAACAAGTCTCTTAGCAGGGTAATAAAACATGCTCCATGCTACTGATATCTGGACAGGCGGAGGAAGTATGGAAGACATTAGACCAACACGGACTTGCAGAGACTGTAGCGGAAAAAACAAGAAATCTATGACACTTCTTAGTCATTCAGGTCACTGAATTGTCCAGTATTAGTAAATCAACTGTACTTGTGTTAACTTGAAAATGCTTTGCCACTCATCCAAGGTGTGAAATGTTAAACGCAAGTCCATTGGATAAGTGGCAAACATCTTCACTTATTACTGACAGACAACAAAGTCAAGAGTTTTTAGTAAAGTCACAGTAAAGCAGGAGGCTACTTGCAGCACAGCAATTACAGGACAGAATTTGGTTATTTACCGCCATATTGATGCATTTTAAGCAACAACCTCTCCTCATCCTCAATACATTGTTTGAGAAAGCTACTGGCAGTATATGTAAATGATCTTTTGTGCTGTTACTGCTCCCTATTCTATACTACATGCACGGTTTGTGACCATGGAAAGAACAATGGAATGTAATATTCAACAAAAATAGACTGAGTATGTCAAAACCATACTCAAGGAAAAGTGTTACTGCATTAGAGTGATATAACAACTCAAAAGCAAAAGTATCCAAAAACAGCTTGAGTAGAAGTACAAAAGTAGCGAGTCATAAACAGTACAGGGTAACTCATTAAAATCTTAGTACAGTCTCCACAGTGTTAATTAGCTTATAATATATATATATATATATATATATACATATATATATATATATATATATATATATATGTACATTTTTTTTATGTATTACCTAAAATGAAATCTTGGATTTACTTAAAAATGTAACATGGCTCCACAGAACTGTGTTAAGTAGCTTTCACGATACTCAGCGTAGCAATATGTAGAAAAAGTACCTTAAGTTAATAGGTTTACCTTAGATCTCCATAATTTCATTATATTGTTACTGTGATACAGACCTGTTGGGAAATTAAGCTCAGCAGTAAGTTATATGGTAACTTACACTCACAGCCAGCAACAGTGTAGGCTAGGCAGTTCACTGTGAAGTATAAGAAAGATGCACACACAACAAAAGGTAGGCCAGGGGAAAAGATGACACAAAGAGAGTGAATGAAACAAATAAAAGAAAATGCAAATGGAAATGGATGATGCCAGGAGCCAATAGGGAAACAAGTACATTGATCAAACAAAGACTTACGTAAATCTGACAACTCACTTATTTTCATTTAAACAACAACTGACTCTGTTTCACTGACTTACATGCTTTTGTTAAGTAATATTAATGAGAGAAAAGTCGTGAAAACCAACAACAGAGCGATTTCATAGGAAGTGAAGGGTGTTAAGTGCTTTTCTTTCTTTCTGGGATTCTGTTGGGCTAAAATGAAAAGATGAAGCTCCAAAGTTGGAGGTACATATGTTGTCACCAACGTAACAGAATGTAATTAAAAAATGTGAATGACTAAAATGTAACTCAGTATGAAGTAGAATTCAATTCTTCATAAATATATTTGTGTAGATGTTTTTTCATTTGTATTGTCATTTGGAAAAGTACAAATGCCTCACATTTGTCTTAGGTTCATGTAACTGAGTAAATGTAGCTACCCACCCCTGATATATCTCGTGTGCTTTACCTGTGCAGGTGGCATCTGTGCAGACTCTGAAGAGCGGCTGATGAACTGGCTCCTGGGAAAGGACCGTTATAACAAGCTGATCCGGCCGGCTCTCAACAGGACCGAGAGAGTCACGGTGAAGCTGCAGGTCTCTCTGGCACAGCTCATCAGCGTGGTGAGGAGAAACTCTGACAACTGAGAACCTGAAACTGAACAACACCCACTCAGTTCAGTGCTATGCTTAAAGTCACTCAGACAGAGAGCTAATGAGAACTCAGGGTTTCTACCGTGTTAGAGGATTTTAAAGTAGGATGAGTTCACTATATTTACAATATTTACAAATGTCTGAAAGAAAAATGGCACAGATTTTGTTTTTTTCCAGCAGTACCACAGCTGCTTCTGCAGTGATAGAGATAATTCCCAAATATTCACGCATTCTGTTTCAACTCAGTTATTTGTTTAATTCAATTCAATTCAATTCAGTCAATATCAGTCCAATTCAGTTCAATTTCCTGTGATTTCCATAGGGACAAGTGTGAGGCTTTTCTTGTGAGCTCCAATAAGAATATTCTGTTCCAATTATGATAAAAACATGCTGACTGCTTACTTTTTAAACCTTAAGTTAGAAGAATAAATGTCCCAAAACGCCCAGGAAGTATGGAAATAATCTCATAGAAATGTACCTACAGTCCTACAGTAAGACTTCAGTTAGCAATATCTGTAATAGCTATAAAGTTAGTGTTGAGATGGTGTTGAGAACCCACAATGATTTACAGGGTCATAGCATTCAGAAGCTGCACGCAGACATATATGTATATATCCCATTTTATGAGCCCTTACTGTCCTCTTCCCATCTGGTAATTGAAATCATAAAGTCGGGCAGTATATAGTGTGTTGTGCTGTCTGTTACGCCTGGGTGCAGATTGGCTATATGTTCATCTCACTTCATACAAGCCGTATGTAGTATATACAGCTTGCAATGGCGCAGGCCTATTTCTGTTAGACTGAAAGAACATTTCATAATGGAAAAATATCAGTGTGACTGTTGAAATCACTGCAAAGAACAATATCTTGAAGTAAAGTTATTCTAAATCTAGTAAATGAACCAAATATTTCTCAAAATTATTCTACGAACATCATAAGATTATTCAGCATTTTGAGATGTTTGTTCAAAAGACTTTTCTTGTTCAATTAGGAGATCATTTTGCTTGTTTTAATCTAAAAAAAGAATCAGTTTACTGGATAAACATACTTAAATAAGTAGAAAAATAAATACAGTGCAGTGCAAAAGGCAGAGACCACCCTACATTTATTCAATTTCCAATTAATACAACCATTAAGTTCCAGTTACAATTTTTCAGGAGATATTTTTGAGGAGATCCACAGTATTTAAGCATTCATCTTTGAGAGAGAGGAAAAAAATGTAGCTCCACTCTAGCTAGTGGAAAAAAAAAACACAACTTTATTTTAAACTTCCACTGTGAGAGGAGAACTCAAACGATATGGGTCTTCTGTCAAGAAGCCCATACTAAGAAAAGGAAATGGACCAAAAAATGTTTGCAAATCAAACAAAGAACAACGGACTAACCACCCTAGAGACCTCAATATTACTGGATGTGTTTGGATTATTTGGGTCATGAGAAGCAGAAAATGCAACCAACTTCTAAGACTGAAAAATATCCCTGCAGATTTCCTCAAAAAAACTGAAATCAAATCTCCTGAAAACAATGGAAGCTGTAATAAAGGCAAAGGTTGGACACATTAAATACTAAAAAAATGATATTATATTTAGCTGTTGAGGCTTCTGTGACTTTTTTCTTTATTAAATAAACGTTGTTGTTTTTTCCTGGTGCTGAAACATGAATAATGTATACTTATTTGCCGTTTTGCCCAGAAATAAAATAAAGTGATTTTTGCACAGTGGTGTAGGTTGAATAACATAATGTTATGTAACATTATGTTGTTTGATTTAATTGCTTATAATGTAACATGTGAATGACCTTTTGTGTGTGTGTATCTAATATCCTATTTCCACAGAATGAACGGGAGCAAATCATGACGACCAACGTGTGGCTCAAGCAGGTAAGCATGAATAGTCCAATAAAAAAGGCAGTTATCACCAATACAGCTCCAGCGTCCTTGCCCTTGAACTTGAATTTACCCATAGACATCCTTCTCCAACAGCAGAGCAGCAACCAGTCCCACTCACAACCACTCATTAAAATGATAATGAAGTGTGTAATTGAGTATCATCTGGCTACTGGGACACCATTATTTCAACACGACCTGGATTCTAATGACAATTGGAATATTCTTTTCTCAGAACTGGAATGATTACAGACTGTCGTGGGACCCGTCAGACTACGAGGGCATCGACAAGCTCCGAATTCCTTCCAGACACATCTGGCTACCTGATATTGTTCTATACAATAAGTAAGTGAAGTGCACATGGGGCATTCAGGTGATACTTTTGATAGGTATTCTTTACAGAAGAGTGAAGCAGAGTCTTATACATAATGCATAGACTGTTCACTTGAGCAATGCTCACATTCATAATGCATCATACACACTAGAGTGAGTCATAATGGGTGAGATATTTAAGAAAGAAATGCAAGTAAATAATTAATTTTAACATGTTTGTAGTAATATAGCTAAAGTTTACAGATCTAATATTTATTACTCCTTAGAGATCTAGCATTATTCTTGTTGCTTGCTATAATATGTTAATATAATTACTCAATTATATATTTCATTACATAGATAGTTGCACCTGCATTCAGTGACTTCTAAGGGTTAAGGGCTGTGATAAGAAATAATATTCTACATCTAGTGTTGCAGTCAATACCATTAGAAGCAAGACCAGGTCAAGACTGAGACCTCAACAAATCAAGTCAGATTCAAGACCAAGACTTCATAGTAGCAGAGTCAATACTGAGACCGGAAGTCGGTAAAACCAAGACTAAAATTTGCTTCATTAGTTTTGCAGTGGAGCAACAAGGTTAATGTGGCTTACAAGTAATGGGAGTCTATGCTGCCTAAAATTGTTCTATTATATTAGTTTTGTAGCTCCAGTGCAAAACTAAAGAAGCAAACTTTGGATATCAAACGTCTCGGGTGATCACCTATGTTTGGGGTGAGGGGCAACTTTGGTGGTATAGTGTAATAGGTAACACCTCTGACCGCCGCCCCCCCCCCATAAGGCAGACTAGAATTCAGTTGCCCCCCCCCGCCAGCAAGCACACCCAACATTATCAAGAAGAGTCCTTGGGCAAGACTCCTAAAAATTCATTCATCTACATATGTTACACGAAGCGAGCATATGCCGAAATTTTTTTTGCAGTTCATTTAATGTTCTCTATACATGATATATACCAAGAAATTGTATTATCAAGCAATCTTAGTCCTCTTGGTACTCTTCATTCTATGTTTTGGATGCAATAATACTGATGGTCACTGATTGGATACTGAGTAAATTAAGTAATGATGGCAAAAAAGTATAGTAACCAATGACTGCAGGTAAAGAGGGAGTAAATTTGGCTAGTCTCTGGAAAAGTCCTTCCTATCCCAAGATTGAGGCCATTTAATTCTAGGACCATTCATTCAATGTTTTGAGACCATCACCAAACTCAAGTACTACAACACTATTTACGAGAGTGCCATTACATACCTCTGTTCTTTTTTCAGCGCTGATGGCACTTATGAGGTGACAGTCTTCACCAATGCTATCGTCCTGTTTAATGGTAGCATTGCTTGGCTCCCTCCTGCCATCTACAAGAGTGCCTGCAAGATCGAGGTCAAGCACTTCCCTTTCGACCAGCAGAACTGCACACTGAAGTTCCGCTCCTGGACTTATGACCACACAGAGATAGACCTGGTCTTACTGTCTGAGATGGCCATCATGGATGACTTCACTCCTAGTGGAGAGTGGGACATTCTGTCTCTTCCAGGGAGAAGGACAGTCAACCCTCAGGATCCAACCTATGTGGATCTGACGTACGACTTTATCATCAAACGAAAGCCGCTTTTCTACACCATCAACCTCATCATCCCCTGTGTGCTTATCACATCACTGGCCATCCTGGTGTTTTACCTACCATCGGACTGCGGGGAGAAGATGACCCTTTGTATCTCTGTTCTTCTGGCCCTTACTGTCTTCCTCTTACTGATCTCCAAAATTGTCCCACCTACTTCCTTGGATGTCCCGTTAATTGGGAAGTATCTGATGTTCACCATGGTCTTGGTGACGTTCTCCATCATCACAAGTGTGTGCGTACTCAACGTCCACCACCGCTCCCCGAGCACACACACCATGCCCAACTGGGTGAAGCTGGTCTTCCTGGACAAACTCCCCACATTACTTTTCATGCGGAGGCCTCACAGGAGCTCAGCCCGGCAGAGGCTGCGGCAGCAGAGGCGTCTCCAGGATCGCAGGGCCCTGCTCGGCCTGGGTTATGGAACTTCACGCAAGTCAACCATCTCCTCTTCCGCCTCCGCCTTACTCGCTGCTTCCTCAGCTTCTGCTCTCTCCTCACCGGGACACTTTTATGGAAAGAGTGCACCGTTCGGATTCAGCCGTGGCTCCAGGAAGGGGGACCTGCGGCCCACAGAGTTTCTGCCCAATGGTCACACCTCGACCCAGGACCTGAGGGCGGGAAGGGTGGGCTTGGACTGGGGGGCTGACGTTCAAGAGGCAGTGGATGGGGTTCGCTATGTGGCTGACCACATGATGGGAAATGACGATGATCAGAGTGTAAGTGATGTCTCATTATTCAATATTTACTCCGTTAGCAGACTATCAGGCTAGCTGTTCTAGTCCCGATGCAGCATGAAAGCAATGCTTTGGCCTAAAAACGTACTTCAAATGTAATCGATCTGCCAAGACATGTTTGACGTCTGAAGTTTGCTTCTTGATTTTTGCACTTGTGATTTTTGAACTGATGGTCACTGGTGATCAGCACCAGGCTGGTCATTACCAACTGACAAGTAATTGAAGCTTATATCCCAGCTATTAGCATCATGCAAACTGCATGCTTAAATTGCTTCAATTGCATCACACACATGCCTGAAATCATGTCAAATTGTTAAGTAATTTCAAATAGACTTGCTTAAGTGTTATCTGATACCGGGGTCTTTGCCAGAATTTCATATGGGGGGTTGGTAGTTTACAGGGGCCAGCTAGGAAGCATTATGTACAAGAGACACTATGGTGAACCATCAACTAGCCACTTTCATTGTAGCTACCATAACTGTGTTATTGTAACAACTGACATCATATTACAGTGGATAATGACAAATTAACCTACCTTTTACATTACTAGTGCCAGATGCCTGGGGTGAATGGGGGGAAACTACATTTTTTTTATCTTTATGTTTAGCACTATTGAACCTTGTTTCCTTTACCATGGTCAGCTTAACTGCTTACCTAGCTCAGTATCGCAAGGTACGTAGCACCTTATGGCAAAAAAAACTAGCACAGCTCATTTATGTTCCCACAATCTGCAAAAACAGCCTAGCAGGATGGTGCTGTGTTTACATTCTGGCATTTAAAAAAAAGCATCATTTCATGCTCTGTTGCAGAGTTGGTTAAAACTGTGATGTTAGGTGACCAATGGCATCATGCAACCATGTAAACGTTGCCATGATAATTGCAGTTTTGGCAGTCACTTTCATGTATTTAAGCCAATTCCACAGTAGGCATAAAATGTAATTCCCAGCTGTTCCCTTTCACTCCTCATTGCTTGCTAGCAGCTCATCCTGTGTTATGAGAGCATAAGATGAATTACAATAAATATTTAATATTTTACATGTAATGGCAGACTTTTTTTTTAGCAGTGAGAAATCAGGGGGTCTGTTATACTGTGATAATGTTATGTTTAAATGTATTAAAGTATGTCTCATAACTGAAAAAAACAACAGTAAGCATCCATCTTAAACTCTCATGTTTTTGTTAATATTTTTGTCAATTTTTTTAGGTAACAGTATGTTTTATACATAACAGTATAGATAACAGCATACTTTAGACCCCAAACATGTCTTTGGCAATTGACTACATTTGCAGTAAGGGGAAAACTATGTAAGGTTTATTTTTGACTGAATGATCACCTTTAAGAATATTGCTATGTATTAAATAAAACGTAGATCCATGTTTCCAGGGCAATGGAAAATACTTTTTAGGAGCTCTTTAAATGCTCTTAGGGGTCTTTCAACCTCTTTTCTTCAGCATCATAAGCACATGTCCTTCAACATGCCAACAAAGTGTTTGGTTTGGGAGCTCACTGACTGACACATTAACTGGACATTCCTCTTGTTACATGTTGCCAGTAGGGAAACACTTAGAGAGCAGAGATGAGAACAAGAGGTGATAAGAACTACATTAAAGCCAAACCACTGTGTCAGAGCCATTGATTGTTTTCTTAAATAAATCAATATAGGAGGAGGGCATCCACGGTTGACTAATGGTGGCCTTCAGAAACTGCATAGGACAGCAGTCAGGCGGAAGGGTTATGGGGTCAATAGCCTTTATTTTGCTCAGGCTCATTTTCACTCTGCTATTTTTCATCTTGCTCCATGCTTCATTCCCTCTACTCCTCTTCGACTTTCTAACAGGTTACAGTAATGTAATGTTCTTCTTGGTTCTTCTGTAGGTGATTGAGGACTGGAAGTACGTCGCCATGGTCGTAGATCGGATGTTTCTGTGGATCTTTGTGATTGTGTGCGTGGTGGGCACGCTTGGGCTCTTCCTCCAGCCGCTTTTCCAGAACCAGATCATCCCTGTCCAGCACTCGAGTGCTGAGTCTTCCAGGCGGGATGGGATGTAAAGAATGTAGGGGTGTGGATCCCCTGAAACAAAACCAAAAGGCTCCAGTGCCATACCAGCTCTAAACACCCCCCCCCCATAAAAAACTGTACTGTGATACTGTGAGAAGGTCTATTCATATAAACCCCACTCTTAATAATACAGGTTCCTAATTGGTTCTTGGCTGGACATATGATTCTAAGGAGAGAGAAAATAAATGTTTAATTGGTGAAAAACCTTCACATTATGTTCTTGCAGGTTCCTCACGCTTGTACAGTACTGTGCCAAAGTCAGACACCACAGCCAGCCAAAATGGCCATTAAGTACAAGTTATTAATTTTTCATAATTGTGTGTGTCAACACTTCGCCTTCATTGCAGCTTCCATTCTTTCAAGGGGATTTGTTTTCAGTTTTTTTTTCACACCTCCAAAGCTCAGCCTCGGCTGCATTTTCAGTTGTTCAGTTTCAATGATGTTGTGGTCTGGACTCTGGGGTGGTCAGTCAGTTGTTCTAAGAACACCACTGGCTTTTTTTGCAAAATTTCTTCTTTGTTGTCTGTCTTTTTCTCAGTAGGGGCTTCTTGACAGCTAGACATCCTTTCAGCATTGAGCTGTCTTCTCACAGTGGACGAATGGACAGAATAAGAAACAGATCTGAAGCAAGAATGAAGCTTGATTTCTTCTCTCTCTCAAGAATAAAAGCTTTAAATACAGTTTATCTGATGGTGGTGTACCAGGTCTTGGTTGGTAGGAGTCATATATTGTCTATATATTTTAATAATTTTTGAACTCCAGTTTTGGAAACTCCTGTTTTTTTCAATTATTTTCCTTTGACTTTCCCCTAACTTATGCAAGTGGATCATTTTATATCTCTTGTAAAATTAAAATTTTACATTACTTGACTGGATATTAAATAAATCAAAGGAGGTCTCTGACTTTTGCACTGTATTTATACATCTAATTTACAACACATGTTCTGTAAACAACCACCCAGTGCATCTATTTCGTTCAGGAACCCACAGTGGTTCTTTTATGGTATCACTCCAAAGAACCTCCTTTGGAAAATTAACTTTATTAAGAATGCATCTCACCCATTGAGTTCTGATCATTAATGAGCCAGACTGTATCAACCATCCACGTAATGTTACCTGAAATGGGCAGCCACTGGTGCTTCAAAATTATAGTATTAAATCAGGAGAATCCATGCTGAAACAAGGCCACCGCTCATCTGCAAATATTATTTCAGCCCTACAAACCAGTGAATAATCCTGGATGAATCACAGCCTTGGTCTTTAAAGTTTGACAGTTGCTCTCTTCACTGTCGGCCATATGGAGCCTAAACAGCATTACATCCTGCAACCACTCCCTTCCCATGTGGCAAAAATAATATCTAATAAAAGTGAAAATTGCATTGACTTGCAGTGTTTACCTCTGATTAACTATGTGCCCCTGGTTGCCATGAATTTTGTTTTGACATGTCATATTAATTTCATTTGCCAGGAGAGTATAGGTCACATATTTAGCCCTCGTAAATCTTGTTAGTGTGTCCTTTAAAATGTCATGCAAGCTGCTTGTATAATAAAGGCATATGTCAGCTGCTTTAGTTTGTCTACTTAACTAATGAGTTTTCTACAATTACTGGCATAGTTAACTAACAATATTATGGTTTTATTGTAAAAGTAAATTAGTGTTATCAGTGCAAGGGTAACAAAATATGAAGAACATAGTGAACACAATGTTATTGATCTGGATGTTTTCGTGAATTATTATGCCTGGATACTTAAAGAAAAGGTTCTGAATCTACATACTGGGACATTTTTTCCATAACTGAGCAAAGAGCTCAAAAGCAACATGAACCACAAAGGGATGTCCTCACTAAGCATGCCTCCTGCTGGACACTGTGCAAAGCACAAATATCTCTCTCTCTCTCTCTCTCTCTCTCTCTCTCTCTCTCTCTCTCTCTCTCTCGCTAAATACTCCTGGTACAGAGTGCTGAGTTGGCTCGTTGAATATTCTGCCGACTGCAAAGCTTCTTTTGCGAGGCCTCTAATTTAAAACGTGATGTATCCGCCTGCTCTGCTGAGTCCAGGGCTGTTTAGCTTTGTTTTTCAATTTACTTCCATTTACAGTATCACTGTAAATACCACTGCAGCTGTATCCTTCAATTGACTAACTGTCAGTGCTGTAGGGACTAATTCATATTTTGCAACTCATGGTATTTTGCAACTAATGAAAGCTTTGCACAGATATTCACACCAACCCATTGATAATTACTCTTGGCTTTGGAACAGTATAGTGATGTAATGTGGTGAGTAATGTCAAAAGGATATTTAAGGGAATAGTTTGGCAAAAATATCTAATTTATAGAATTTTAGCCCAGATATAGTCAACCTTGTTGAACCTGTTTGGTTTGCTTTTTTAGTTTAGCGCTGGCGCTACGAGGCTAACATCAATAGTCACCCAAATCTTTTCAGTAAAGTCATCCTCAAAACGTTTTTAGACGACTCAAACTGTGTCCAGGTCTTCATTAAAGTTGGTCAGAAGTGTCAGTGTGGTTCAGGATACAGAATGGCTGACTGTGAACTACTAAAATAAACAAAGCTTGACTGTGTAGCTGCACACAGTTTTTTTTTTAAATAAACTGTTAAATATGGGGATTTATCACTATACATGTGACTACACAATGCTAATATTTGTAGCAACATTAGACTAGAAGTCCTAGTTTCATATATTTCATTAACTAGGTTTGCTTTCCCAAAATACTCATTCCAAAAGAAATACATTTTCCAGACCAAAAACAGCCACCAACAAACTCTCCCCCATGTCAATAGAGACCTACACCTGACTACATGACAACCTGGCTAACATGGAATAGAACATCTCTCTGCGCCTGAGCTCTACACTCAAAACATGGAAACTCCACTAGGAACCTTTGGGGATCTTAGTAGAAGATTTTTTAGCCACTCATGTTCCAAGAGCTTTTTAAAGTTCTCCAAGAATTTTTGAAAAAGAGGAAGTTTCTCCAACTGTCACAAGGTTTTTAAAGAGTCTTGTAATAAAAGCTTTCTGAGGCACTGTTCTGCCTTTGAGACAATCCAAAGAAACCATCAGATCCTTCTGTTTTCAAGTGTAGGTCATCTGAGATTAGCACTCCGTCTAAACAAATATTTTAACAAAGCCCAAACACACTTGTCTAGCTGTACTTCAACAAGCGAAGTAGGTCCTAATTTAACACTGTAGACCAGGAGTCATGAATGAATGAATTTGTTTTCAGTGTAATGGATTTTCAGGATTGTTTTTCAGATTTATCAGAAATTGACATTTTAAAATTTAAGGAAAACTTCCTGAGATGCATTAAGCTCACACTGTAAAAAAATAGTTGGTCAGTTCAACAATTTCATTCAACTCAAATAAAAACTTTGTATAAAAAATGCAAAGCAGAATTTTAGTTTAGACACATGAATTAAAACACATTCATTCAATAATATTTTACATTAATTCAGAGCTCATTGACAGACTGATATACCTTCTACTGAAGTAATATGTATTTCTAATGAATGTTAATAAGTACTTTTAGACATATGAGAGTGTGTCCAGGAGAGAGTCATGACCAGCACGCGCCCTAATGCTCTGTCCATGGTGCTACAACCGCTCCACAGTCTGTTCTTCAGGTTCCAATGCTCCAGAACCAGCGTTCACATATTGCAGTAAAAGTGCGTGTTAACACTCATAACATCCCTATCAACTAATTATAACTTATTAGTTACTTTTTGATAATTGATAATGACGTACAGTCGGCAAATTCCACCAAAGCGCACGTAAGTCACTTCTCCCAAGACGGCGAATTCGCTCAATATGACGCACTGGCAGCTTCAGTGACTGATTAGATTCAGAGTTAATGATAATCGCGCTGTTAACATGAAATAAGATTAGCTGAATCCACACGGCGACCCTGTAAACAACCGTCCACCACGTGCACATCTCGGGTCTGTGATTGACAAAGTCTCTCTCTCTCGGGTCTGTGATTGACAAAGTCTCTCTCTCTCTCTCTCTCTCTCTCTCTCTCTCTCTCTCTCTCTCTCACTCTCTCTCTCTCTGCGCGCTCTCCACATCCTCTCTCGCGCTCTCTCTGCTCGTCTGCCTCCACTTTGTCCTCCGGTTCCAAACAAGATTCATGGATTAATATAACAGGACTTGTTCTGATTTTTACAATGAACGCTGGACTTCTCCTTCCCTGCTGCATTCTCGCTTTCCTCTTCCAGGGTGAGTATAAAAAGAGACTATTTTAAATATGATTTGTAAAGGAAACGAGTAAAGACTGTGGTACTTGTTGCTGACCATAAAAACAATTCAAATCATGACCTTAAAATCTATGACTGTGAATGAACATCTATAGAGTAGAATGAGCATCTACAGAGTGAGGAAAACCAAAAGTGCTGGACATAAATGGACCCTGCTTGGTTTCTCTGTGTACTTAACTCAGTCAGGAAAGAACAAAAACAGATGCTTAAAGCAAAAACTATGACAAGCCAAATTGTCAGATGTCTACAGCTCATTGTGTGGCATCTGTTTCCTTTGTGACTCAAATGCAGGGTGACTCAAACGTGTTAATTTGCTTTAAGCACATGAAATCTTACTTTAGAATTACTACATACTAAGCCTTGTTATTCAGTAGGTGCATGGAAAACAGTGCACACTGCCACTGTTATTAACTTATGGGGGTGAGGAATGGAAGCCTGGACATGCTGGCAGCTCCTGGGTACTAGAGGGGTTAAACCTGACTAATAACTACTTGCCTGATTTGTGAAAAAGACCACTTCAGTCCACCCTCACCGGAGCAGAAGCACAGTTACTGAAAGTGGATGTGATTATGAAGTGTAATTCCACAGTCTTTTGCAGCTGAAAGCTTTTATTTGCTTTTCTAGATTATTCTCTTTTAATCTGAATCAATGTTGACTGAGCGTTACTCTGATGTTCAAACGAGGCTTTAGCTGAAGGTCAAAGAGTTTAAAGGAAAATGTGCTGACAAAAATGATGGAATATTCACGTTTATTCATATTCAAAGTGTGCTGTATGTACGGGGGTGTACAAAATAACAGAACCATCATACGACTCGTATTCATTGGCCATATTATCTGGTACACCTACCATATAGAAGCACTTTGTAGGTTTACATCTGTAGCCCAACAGTGGTCCTGTGCTCAGAGACTGACCACTGATGAACTAGAGGATGACCAACACAAATTGTGCATGGAAGGAGATCTACAGTCTCTAACTGTTCATATATGAGGTGGATCAACAAGGTGTGTCGAATGAGGTGGACTGTAAGTGTACACAGCACCTATACTGTGGGTGTTTCTGATAAAATGGCCAATGGGTATAATTCATGTGGTGCTTTGTCAACCCCATGTAAGTACATGGGCTGTGCTTTGCTATAAACATTTAATTGCCAAACATATGAGTAGTAACATATTCTCTTTAACACTTTTAATGGCAACAGTGTGTTATTCTTTGAAATTAACTCATGAAGTGCAAGTAGAAACTAATACCACCCCCTTCACTCACCTCACCTTTCTTCAGGTGGAACCTGCTCAGAGGCGGAGCACAGGCTGTTTTCTGTGATCTTCTCCAGCTATAATCAGTACATCAGACCGGTGGAGAATGTGTCTGACCCAGTGATAGTCCAATTTGAGGTGTCCATGTCCCAGCTGGTTAAAGTGGTAAGTGTCTGGACAAAACAATGATGACCAATGGCAAACTGTATCGCACTGTAATTGTGTGTTTGTGGTCTCATCTGCACCGTGGTGCATTATTAAAGTGTGCAGTGAAAGGCTGCACTCTGCCAGGATGACAAATCATTCACTGAGCATCTCCAGCAAAATGGCTCCATTAAGCTAAATGAAAATACAGTGATTAACCCCTTCAACTCTATTGTTATTAATCATAAGGCTTATGATCCAGTAAGCATTATAAAATATTCACTAATGACTATGAAAAAAAAATTAACTTACCTTTTTAACCTTCCATTACCAGCAATATGAAAGCATTGTTAAAAAAAGTTTGATTCACTTTCTTGAATAAAATGGACTTCGATTGATTCATTTTATTTTTAAAGAAATCCTTTTATCCTGATGCAGCATTGTGAAGTATATACAACAATTGTTGCACATGCAATTATTTAAAACCACAATCCTTGCTAACTCAAAACAAAACAAATAATAATCAAGCAAATAATCAGATTTGATTCCTATTCTAAATGAAAAACCAAACAGTAACTGTTGTCTTTCAAGTGGCTGCGTATGTGACACTTCATTTGTGATTGGCTGTATCCATTCTACTGTTGCATGATGTTGCTTTTAAGCAACATCCATCCATCATCTAAACCGCTTATCCTTCTGGGTCGCGGTGGGGTGCTGCAGCCTATCCCAGCTGTCATTTGGCGGAAGGCAGGATACACCCTGGACAGGTCGCCAGTCCATCGCAGGACAGACAGACATACACATTCACACACACACTCACACCTAGGGGCACTTTAGCACGTCCAATTGGCCTGACTACATGTTTTTGGACTGTGGGAGGAAACCGGAGTACCCGGAGGAAACCCACGCAGACACGGGGAGAACAGGCAAACTCCACCCAGAAATGACCCTGGTATCAATACCCCTGGTATCATACCCTGATATCTTTGGATGGATGAAAAAGGAGGAAAATTTGTTATTCTGATAGAAACTGTAGAAAAAGGTCAAGTGACACCAAATGAGCAAAAGGCTTAAAAATGACCACCAAGAGATATAAAGACCAAGTACAAGCATTTTATTGGTTTGTTCAAACTCTACCCTTTCATTGTCATTATATAGTAAGCAAAATGGGTTTGTTAACCTGAGGCAACATTGTGTGATAGAGGCTTCAATTTAAGTGACAGATCTTCTATTGTATAAGAATGTAGTAAGGTCCATAGACTTTAAAAGGTTAATCATGATGCCTTTGCATGTATATAGCTATGAAATATCCAGCTAGAACATGTATACAGTTTATGCTCAAAGGTTTGAGAATAAGGGTATTAATAGGGGTGCTGGAACATTGCTGTGAGGATTTGATGGCAGCCAGAAGAGAATTAGTGAGGTCAAGTACTGATGCTGGATGATTAGTTCTGGATCACAAATGCCGCTCCAGCTCATCCCAGAGGTACTGAATGAGCTCTATCACTCCACAGAGTGCAGTTTCACTGCTCCACAGCCCAGTGCTGGGGGGCGTTATACTACTTTATCTGACGTTTAACATTGGGCATGGTGACCTTAAGCTCATGTGCTCCAGAGCATCCCATTCTACTTGAAATATTTATATCTATGGAGATTCTACAAGCTTGGTGTGCACAATTGCACACTTGCACCTTAAAGTAGATTAATTCACAAATAATGTATAGTGTCTGGATAGTTTTGGACATACAGTGTGTATTTAAGTGATTTCAAGATGTACAGAAAGTGCACTGAGAATGTAAGCATTTTAATTTTGCATGTGTGCGTACGTCATATTCTGTAAGTACATTTGTGCGTTCGTGTCCACCCACTGAAACAGCTCTGAAATCGGTCTGGGTCACAGGTTCTTCAGACAGTAGCTCCTCATTGTGCTCCAGTACACCTTAGCAGTGCCGTCTGAATTAGCCCTGGAGCTTCAAAGCTCAATGCAGGCCGCCTGCCGCTCTGCTGCTCTCTCTGCTTTGGCTAAGGCTCAACGGATCTGTCACTGCGAATGACCGTGTGGGTGTGTGACTGGCCAGGAGCAGACAGGAAGTGTCTGTTCCCCCCTTGTTTCTTCACTTGCTCTCTATCTTTCTCTCTCTCTCGTTCCCCTCAGCCATAGCCCTCTTTTACTGCCTGTCTCATCTGCCTGTTGCCAACAGAGCGTATCCCTCTCTTTTTCACCTTCCCCACCAACAGACCCCCCTTCTCTCTTTCTCCCTTACTCTCTCTCCCTGTCCCAACTGCCCAAATCCCTACTCATCTCAACACTCACTCACCTCTCTTTGTTTTTTTTTTCACTCTCTCCTTCTGTCTACCTCTCTCTCTCTTCTGCTCTTTGTTGTTGTTTCTCTTTGTCTCACTCTCTCAGTCTCCCTTTTTCTTTCTCAGTGTACCTCTCTGTCTTTCTTTCTCTCTCTCTCTCTCTCTCTCTCTCTCTCTGTCTCTGTCTCTGTCTCTCACTCTCTTTCTCTTTTCACTGTCTCTTTCTCACTCTTTTCTTTCTGGCTACCTCTCTTGTCCTCTCTCTTGCTCTTTGTTTCATTCTCTCTGTCTCTCTTTCCTTTCTTTGTGTACCTCTTTTTCTCTTACTCTCTTCTGCTTCTTCCTTTCTGTATCCTCTTCTCAGTCATTTTTTTTCTATTTACCGTTATCTCTCTTTTCTCACTCTTTCTGTCTACCTCTCTTTATCTGTATCTTTTTCTCCCCCATTCTGTTTGTTTCTTTCTTTCTTTGTCCTTATCTCTTTTTATTCTTTCTTTATCTGCCTGCCTCTCTGTATCTGTATTTTTCTTTCTCCCCATCCTTTTTGTTTTTCTTTCTTTCTTTCTTTCTTTCTTTCTTTCTTTCTTTCTTTCTTTCTTTCTTTCTTTTTCTCATCTCTTTTTTACTCTTTCTTTGTCTTTCTCCCCATCCTCTTTGTCTCTGTTTTGTTTCTTTCTTTCTTTCTTTCTTTCTTTTTATTCTTTCTTTATCTGCCTGCCTATCTGTATCTGTATTTTTCTTTCTCCCCATCCTTTTTGTTTTTCTTTCTTTTTTTCTTTCTCCTTGTCTCTTTTTTAATCTTTCTTTATCTGTCTTTCTCCCCATCCTCTTTGTTTCTTTGTAGATTTCTCTCTTTCTTTCTTTTTTCTCATCTCTTTTTTACTCTTTCTTTGTCTTTCTCCACATCCTCTTTGTGTGTTTGTTTGTATGTTTTTCTTTCTTTCTTTCTTTCTTTCTTTCTTCTTATCTCTTTTTTACTCTTTCTTTATTGGTCTGCCTCTCTGTATCTGTACATGTCTTTCTCCCCATCCTCTTTGTGTGTTTGTTTGTTTGTATGTTCTTTCCTTCTTTTTCTTTCTTTCTTTCTTTCTTTCTTTCTTTCTTTCTTTTTCTCATTGTCCTTTTTATTGTCTTTATCTGTCTCTCTGTCTTTGTCTCTCACTTTCTGTTTCTTTCACTGCCTACTTTTTCTTTCTTTGTTTGTCTTTTTCTCTCATTTTCTTTCTTTCTTTATCCGTCCGTCCGTCCGTCCTTGCAGAAGTTTAGAGTATTGATACAGGAGAGCTCATTATGAGATAATGGAGTGAGACTTTAATCTTTTAAACTGCAGGCTTATTATTCTGTTATTAATCCTAAGTCTTATCATACAATAACTACTATGAAGCTAATATCTTCATAGTAGGCTATCTTACTTTAAAAAGCAAGGAGAGAAAGAAGAATAGAAGAATGGAGGTGAATGAATTGCTATTCATAAAAGACTTTGCTGTCATTCAAAGTCAGTTAAATAATGACTTCAATAAGGCTTTATTTAAACTAACTTATGAATGTGTGTGATATAAAAGTATTAAATTAAACATGTATTCAGTTATGGTTATGCACACAATGGCTTTCAAGTTTAGGGAGGTAATCCACAACTCAAGGTGAATTCGAGAGAAAAGGAAAAGTGAATCAGCAGCACAGAGGAGCTTTAGAGGGTTTGACACTAGTGTAAGCCTCAGCAGCAAATAAAGCACTGATACAGCCTCCTTATGACTCCACATGGCCTTGATAAAAGGATTGTCTCTGGTGGAAGGGAGATGGTTTTTAATGACGATGCAGAACTGGACACAGCTAGTCTGATCTGAATGTCTTGAGGAGCGTATTGTGATGGATTTGTACTGTTTCTTTCCATCCCTAAGTGCACCCCCATTCTCTTATACATCTTTATAATTGTTTAAATATAATTACATAATGTATAACTAATTACATGATTACACACTGAATTGCATTTAGCTTATATTTAACTTTTGTACTGACATTCACATTTTAAGGTCAAAAATGATAATGATCAAAAAATTACTTTTTTTTCTTTGTGCAAGGTTGTACACACAACAGTAACTTTTTAGCAAAATTAGAATAATAAAATGCCTCTTCTTCTACTTACAAACACAAATATGGTATTGCTTAAAAAATGTAGAATCTGCACTAAATGTCTCTGAATCAGAATCATTTGCAGGAAATTAGATGCTTTTTTTCAGCATTATTTATAGTATATGTTACAGAAATATATTAATAAATGCAACGTTGAGTCCAAAGTGTAAGGTGTCCACTGTGGTTAATAAGGGCCAAAATTCAGACTCTTTGGCAGAGGGAAGAGGATTAAAGAGGTGATGTCCAGGGTAAAAATACATATCACTGCTCTCCAAACCTTGAATTTTTATTGTTATATTTATCATGACATTTTATTAGTTTTATCACAATGTAAAGAGCAGCTGGATTGCAGTCTTAAACAAAATACATAAAAGGAGATATAAAACCTAAATTGGCAGCATATTTTTGTTCTTGGTGTGATTTAGACCATACATATATATAACACATATATATATATATATATATATATATATATATATATATATATCTCGCTGCTGTTGTATCAAAACCTTGTATCTCTATGAGAAAATGCCTGTTGCTCTTTACATTCTGTGTAAATTGCGTGATGAATGGACCAAAAGAAACGACCCAAAATTACTTGGAAAAAAGTCTGCTTCCATTCACTTACATTAAAAGTAAAGTATGTTTTTTCCTTCTCCTGTAAAGTTATCATTTTGGAGATACAAGGTTCAAGGTGCAGGTTCAGACAACAGCAATATGTATGTATACACTCCTATATATCTATATATATCTATATGTATCCTAAGTTCCTAATTTTTCAGGTTTTATCTTCATTCAGACCTATTGCAGACCTCTGGCAATAACTAGATCACAGCTCTCATCTCAATGACCCCAAGGTATGCTGTTATGGACCAGCAGTCCCCCTGTCTGGGTCACGCACCAGGGGAGTCTTCCAGGAGGCTGTGAATGTGGGTTAGTCAGTGCTACTAGTTCATTAGACTTACAAAACTAGCTCTACACCAGCAGCCCAGTCTGTTCTTATTGACCCAAGAAGATAGGCTTTCACTTCCTAAGGGGCAGGAGAGGTCAACGAAGTCAAATGCACATTTTAACCCCTAGGTCCTCTGTGGTGCATATGGCTTGAAAAACCTCTGTGCAATTTATGTGATTATTTCTTACTCATAATTCATAGTAACAAGCAGAGAAATGGTGTAGAAAGTGCAGATTCTAAACCTTCAGTGATACTACATTTGTATTTAAGTAGAAGAGGAGAAATTTTATTATGATTTGAATTGCAAACCCAAGTCTGTTCAGAATGTTAATGTAAATGTAATGCATTTTAATTGTGTAATTTTAATTTTAATTTGTGTAAGAGTATAGAAAACCTCCAGGCAAACCTCCAGGCTAAAACAGCATCCACCATATGTTGGCACGTCAGTGAAGTGGTCGTTTCCTTGGACATTCCTTTCCTTTAAGATATCTCTGTGGCTGCTGCTGATCTGTGATCTGCGTTGCTGTATCCTTGTAGCAGCTCTGTTAACATGCAGAGCCACACATTGCATGAACACCCCGGAGGTCCGGGTGTGCTGAGTGGCATGCCTTTGGGCGAGAGGACTCAGGTGGTCTTCGCTTTCACTACAGCTCGGCCCATCTGTGAGCCACTGAGGGTCGGAGCCGGGACACAGTCAGTCCTCCTCCGACTGACGGCAGCAGAATGATTGTTTATGACAGCTCCTTTCTTCTGTCTGCTCTGAAATATTCATTTAAGAAAGTGTTGTTTTCCCCTAGTGACTATCTGTCCTCTCAGAGAATCTGCCCCCTCTGTTTCTGCAGGATGAGGTCAACCAGATTATGGAGACGAATCTGTGGCTGCGACACGTAAGTTTGCACCTTCTTCACCCATGAGGAGTTCACAAGGTTAGCGCAAGTGCTGTGGCAGCTGCTGATTTCATTGCTTTAACATGTTTCTGCAGACTCAGGTCAATGCACAACATCACATCTAACGACTGAGTGCAGTGATGAGCTCTGAAAGTGCATTGCTGAATTAGAGAAGGTGCCAGAGATTCCTTAAACAGTCCACAGATCATTACTTAGAAAAGGAAATATCAATAAACTCTTGTAAACTGAGCTAGTAAAACATGTACAACTGATATTGTTTTACACGTAGCTCATATATAAATAAATTTCACTCACACACACATACAGTAACATCCATGTACCGCTGTGTTTTGTTGGTTTTTACAACATATTACTGATATACATTACCAGTCAAAAGTTATAGAAGCCTTCTGTTTTACTTATTTTCGAATAAAAGCAGAGGCATCAGACTGTGATAATAACAACACATATAAGTATGCACTGGCCCATGTATGAACAAACAAACAAATAAACAAATAATAAGACATTAGATTCTATAAATTTAGCTTGTTTTTGCCTTGATGTCAACTTAAAAAATAGCCTGTTTAGTTTCAAGATACAAAGAAAAACAGTGATTGGAAAATGAACCATTTAAAATTTTAAAATGAACCAGGACTGTTTTTGGTACATAAAACCCACACGAAAGTCATAAGTGGATTTCAGGGCAGAATAAAATAATATACAAGAAAAATGTAGGATGTGGCCTCCTTTTTCCCTTTTTGCAGATAAGTTCATACATTTGTCTAGATAACACCTTTTCAAGAACTGAAGCATTAGCGTGTAGGCTAAAATATCTTTAAGAGTATAAAACAGTCATATGTTCAACCTGGTGTGTCTACTTTTGACTGACAGTGTACAGAGATTCAGTATATTTGTACTAGTATATATGGTATATAGCATATTGGTTATTTTACTGTGCTCAATGTTTATTTATTTATTTATTTAACCTTTATTTAAGCTACTTGGAGGAATCTATCTTTTAAGGGTCTTGAAGCATTAATGGTGCCTAAAAGAACCTTTGTTTCAAATCCTCTAGCAGAACTTTCATTTTTAGAGAGTGAATTGAGAAACAAGGTTTGAACTTGATAAATGATCAGCGATGAAGTGATATCAGTTTTTGAATTTAAGGTTCTCTGGCAATGTTGCATTGACAACTTTGAGTGACTTGGTTATTGACTTTTGAAATTCATATTTTCTGACTTTTTACAATGTTTTACCAACCACACAGTGTTCTGGGGGCTAAATCAATTGTTTAAAAAAAAAAAGGGAGGAATTTCAGTTTCATTTTTCAGACTGGCTCTCACCTGGCCATTTATTTTAATATTATAAAACTCTTGTTGCCTACATACTGAAGGGCTGTAGGTTAATTGGACCAGACACTACCAGTTATGGTACATCTGTTACATTACTCTGGACACTGCACCGGTCACACATAAGGACATTTCCATTCAGCTGCTGAAATAAATGTAAGCAAATAACTGTAACGTTGCAAACGACTTATATATATAAAAAAAAATATACTCTGAAGGAGAATAAAACCCCCATCATCACATTCATAAAACACCTCTGAGATGTTTGGACCGAGTTTAGAGTCAAATCTTAAAGTTGAGCAAACGTCTCGCTGCAGTTTTGTTCAATTTTATGACTGTATTTGAAATCCTATGAATACACCAAATGCACTGGCAAGCAGAACAACTCAGGATATCTCTATCAATCAGCTGCAGGCAATACCAAATAAAAGACAATAACATTTTTTAGTAAAATGTTGTAATGCACACATATTTAAATTGTTTCACTTTGATATAACATTGATATAAATGCTCATGTTTTTACATTTAGTGACTATAGTACGTTCTGAAAAGCAATATTCAGGCATATATACTGGTATCATGGGAAACTGTAATATAAAAGGCCATGTAAATTCATAATAACCTTCACTTCTGTAATGAGTTACAGTGATGTATATTCTGTACCATAAATAGATAAGAAACTACCAAAATATCTGAAAAACAAAGCTTTGATATATTGTGTTTACTCTATAAGCACTCGGTTTTCCTTATTGAAAAATGCTCCTCACATGGCCCCATTAGTTTAAACCCATTACATCCCCCAAGTGTGTCTGCTTTGTCCCTTTATGAGGCTCTGGAGAATTCATGCCTGGCCTGTCAGAATCGACTAAAGCCCCCTGACCTGCTAATAAAACAAGTCATAAAGCATTGTGAGCATGGCCCATTTTAAGATGAAATGAAAGAGGCTCAGACTGAATCATTCTGCTTAAACAAAAACTGTCCAAGACTAGTTCTGAATTAATAAAGAAGAGCTTTCTCCAGAGAATGCCTGCTTTATCTTAAATGGTTTGCCACAATCAGAGTTCATGGCACAATATAATACTGTTCCTGAACTAATTACAAGAAATTATACCATTTTTAAACAAAGAATTTCACTTATCAAAATTGTGTAGGGCGAGGTCTAATCGTAAAATGAGCACATTCAAATTTTACTGACAGTTTTGTTATTCTTCAATTTCATCTTTGGCATTTCTGTATAATCAAAGTCACATCTGAGTGCGTGTAAATTTGAGCATAATAGCTTAACAACCTGAAAAATATGCTTGATTTAAGGTTAACTGACCAAAACTATTATTAATATAATCTATAATACCAGTAAGAATAAAAATAGAAAATAATACTAATAAAATAATACTAAAAATCTGTGCACATGGCATTCCAGTACAGACACTGTGCTTTTGTTTTAGGCTACTGACACTGCCAAACAAAAAACCAATACAAAACAGCTATAGTGCAGAAGCCTCTCATTCACTGCAATGATTCAGTGTTTATTCAGTTAGTTCAGTGTATACCTTTTATTTTAGGAAAATAAAACACACTACACAATCTCATCATTGTACTTAATCTTTTGGTTTATTTCACATTTTATTCTTTCCAGTGGTCCTAATTCAAACACTACACTGCAAAAAATGGTCTCTTGTCAAGTGAAATGATCTTAAACCTAGTCAATGAGTCCTATTTTGAGATGGTTGTGCACTTATTATAAGATTATCTAGCTTATTTCCAGATTTTAGGTCAGTTAAGTAAAATTATCTGACAATACTGGCAGTTTTTCTGTTGTCAAGCACATTTCTTAAAACAGGCAAAATTATCTGCCAATATAGTGAGATCATTTTAACTTAAAATCATGTAAAAATGTCTAGAAGAAGTTACATAATCTTAAATTAAGCTTACAACAATCTCAACAGGAAAAATATTAGATTTCTTGCCTATATTTAGGATACTTTTACCTAGATACCATTTTCTGCAGTGTATACAGTTTGGTCAGTAGGGGGAGCAGTGCACTTACAATGAGCACAGCCACTGGCTCATGAGCTGCTGAATGAAGCTGTTTAATTGTCACCCTACCCTACTAAAACATCTGCATGACTTAGGGCTTGCTTCATGTAAATGATATGTAAATGAGGTGCTCATTAGGTTGGCTGGTGCCTAATTTCATGCACTAAAGCTGATTTATCATTTATGCTGAAATCTCTTTTGTTTCCATGTTGTACAGAAGTTTCATGAATCAGACACAGAGTAGCTCATGTGCTCACATCTGCGCTGTTTTTATGCAAATTTGATGAATAAGGGCCATTGGATGTTCAGATGGGTCAGAGGGCATCAGGATAGAAGGAAATATCTAAATTATTAGTGCAGTCATTACTTAGTGCATTAAGGCGAATTACCTTTTCAACAGTCTAAATCACATTAGGCTGAAGGAGCTGGATCAGACGCTCGAGCTGTCTATCCTGCGCTGTGTCATTCCTGTTTTTTGTTATCTGTCCTCTCCTCAATGACACAGCCTGTCTGTTTGCTGTCAGGCTGCAGGGAGACATAGAGGTCAGAGTCTTAGATATCCAGCGGAATAACAAACGATAGAAGAATTAGCAATCCTGTTGCTGGTCTGTGTGCATCAACTCTTAAATCAGTCTCTAATTAGTTCAGCCGTACAAGCCTTTCTGTTTTTTCATTATCTATTGTGTTTTTGTGAAACACAAATCTGCTGTTAAATCACTCTGTGCACTTTGCACTCGAGCACTGGCTAATACATTTAAAAATCTCCAGCTCTAAGAGTTTTCCTTTGTGTCTGGTTTGGTACTGTTTTAGTGTGTGAATCATTTGCTCTTTGTTGTGTCTAAAGTCTAAACTTCATATATTCAATTCTGTGTCTGATAATACACTAATTAAATCCTGTGTATTGGACCATTGTATGAGTGTACCATCACCTATACACAGACGTATGTATAATGCTTGCATTATTTCCATTTTTCACAGGTGTGGAATGACTACAAGCTCAGGTGGGATCCCAAGGATTTTGGAGGAGTGGAATTTATCCGTGTCCCATCCAACAGGATTTGGAAGCCAGATATTGTGTTGTACAACAAGTAAGGTTACATCTTCACAAACTTTGCCTTCTCATCAACCTTATTAACAATAATACCAATTTCTGCTACCACCGCTATGGAATTTCTCATAGTGTGAGGTGCTCATGAATGTTTTAGCTATTTTATATCAAACTCCAATATTTGAAGCTTGTAAAAGACATTCCTTATGTCTGTCGCAACTATTTCTATTTCTAAAATCTAACTGAAACCTGGTGGATCACCAGTTTTCACAGTGACGTATCTAGGACTTCCAGAAGGCCTAGAGTGATGACTTTTTTTCTCGATAAGTTGGTCTTGCTCATTGTAAATCAATTTAATCTGGTCTAATGAGTAAGCTTTTCAGTCCAGTTTCTGAAGTCTGGGCCAATGAAAGAGCTCACTTGGCTTTATCTGACTACTCCAAAAGCTGATTGGACAATTTTACACTGGGCATTTTAAGATTATATGCCATTTGTTTCCAACCAAAACTTCACTGTGAAATAGGTACTTGCAGAGTTTGGATACAGCAATCATGAAGATAAAATAATTTGGCCTTCTCTGAAGGCCCTGAGAGTCCCTTACTGCTGGTTGGGCATAATTGTAATGTAATATAAGATTTCAAAATGGCTATTTCCTAAACAGCTTTCAAAATTTGTATTGTTCCTTATAATACACACTTAAAAATGATGGTTCTTCAAGGGATCTTCAGTAAAGAAGATCGTTATACATAGATCCATGAGCACTCAACAGACCCTTTGCATGGTTGAAGAGTTCTTTGCATCAAGAAAAGGTTCTTCAGATTGATGGAGAATGTGCTGTATGCTCTTAAAAAGATGGTTCTTCAAGGGTTCTTTAGGAAAGAAAATGGTATATATAACCATGAACACTCAAAGAACCCTTTGCATGATGAAAAGGATCTTTGCATTGTGAAAGCATTCTTGAAATCGATGGAGAACGTGTTGTCTACGTCAATGTGTAGGATTCTATATAGTACCAAAAAGGATTCTTCTACTGTTACAGCTTTTCAAAAGAAGTTCTATGTAGAACCATCTATAGCACATTCTCCATCAATTTGAAGAACGCTTTCACGATGAAAAGAACATTTTGATCATGCAGAGGGTTCTTTGAGTGTTCATGGTTCTATATAGAACCATTTTTTTTACTAAAGAACCCTGGAAGAACCATAATTATAAGTGTGTATGAAACTGAATGCCTTGTTCATGACATGTGTTTAATTCCGAATCACAGTGCAGTGGGAGACTTCCAGGTGGACGATAAAACCAAAGCTCTTCTTCGCTACAACGGAGACGTGACATGGATTCCTCCAGCAATCTTCAAAAGCTCCTGCAAGATCGATGTCACATACTTTCCCTTTGACTACCAGAACTGCACCATGAAATTTGGGTCATGGACCTACGACAAGGCCAAGATTGACCTGGTACTGATTGGTTCCACAATCAACTTGAAGGACTTCTGGGAAAGTGGAGAGTGGATGATTATTGACGCTCCAGGCTACAAGCATGACATCAAATATAACTGCTGTGAGGAGATCTACACAGACATCACCTACTCCCTATATATCCGCCGTCTGCCTCTTTTCTATACCATCAACATGATCATCCCCTGCTTGCTCATTTCATTCTTGACAGTTTTGGTCTTTTATCTTCCGTCTGACTGCGGTGAGAAAGTGACACTGTGTATTTCGGTTCTTCTCTCCCTCACTGTCTTCCTCTTGGTCATCACCGAAACCATCCCATCTACCTCTCTGGTCATTCCGCTGATTGGCGAGTACCTTCTATTCACTATGATCTTCGTCACACTTTCAATCGTCATTACAGTGTTCGTGCTCAATGTGCATTACCGAACGCCAAAGACCCATACAATGCCTCGCTGGGTTCGCCGTGTGTTCCTCAGCCTTCTCCCCAGAGTTATGTTCATGACCAGGCCTGAGAGAGACCCAGAAAGGCCTCGGAGTTCAGGAACTTCTGCTCGATCATGTGCCCTCCATAATACCTCCTTATTTCCTCAACATCTTACCAAACAGCAGAGTCTTCCAGGCAGCCTGCATCCACGTGCTCATCTCTTCCTCAGCACAGAGCTCAACACTTTGAGTGAGGCAGCAAAGTCTGGCACAAGTTTCCTGTGCAGAGAAGGAAGATGTAACTGTTGTTTGAGGCAGCACCCCAGCAAACTGCCCCCAGATGGCGGTGCTGGCAGCGGAGGCCCTGGTGGTCTGGTAGGAAATGGAGGGGGAGGAAGCAGCCCTTGTTCAAGCTCTGATTCTTTGGATGGAGGACTTTTGACCTTCTCAGCACTTTCACCAGAGGTCCGAGAGGCCATTGAGAGTGTTAAGTACATTGCAGAGAATATGAGGCTTCAGAATGAGGCCAAAGAGGTAAGCTATTTTTTTTTAATGCTATTATCAATAAATCAAATTATTTTTACAATATTTTTCTAATATAGGGGAGAACAGGGTTGGTCAGCACAGGAGTTGATTGGCACAGCATTCATTTCTGGGTCAGTAGGGGAACTCACTCAAAAAACATTACAGAAATAATTGCCCTCTTGACCAACATTCATTCATTTTGTCGAGCTCTGAATGTTACTGTGGGAAGAACTTTTGGATATTTAAGACAAAAAGTGGTCTGACTACATTACACAACTGTGAGAGACTAAAGAGAGACTGAAAACACACCACCATCTGTAACATAAAGTAAATATAGTGTTGTTTCCTGAAGTGGGTGGGGTTTGTTGGCACTTTATTTTACATTTTATGCTGCACAAATACAATAGCATACTAACACAGCTAGAGTGCAGCACTGAACTATGAATGTTAATTTACATTAAATTTGTAAGTTGTTCTTACCTCTAAGCTGTGGCCATTTGAAGCCAAATAAGTATATCTCAGGATATAAGAACTTTGAATCCAAACTGTTTATGTATTAAATGTTAATTTGGAAAGAATTTTAAAGATTCTAAAAACTTCTGTTTTATTTAAACATATATTTACATTTTTACAACTTATATTTTAACCAGACAATGTTGCATATGATAAAAGATTGTTTTTAACAAATTATCATGTTTTAGGGAAAAGGAGTTTTAAATTAGTGAAGTGGCCCAATTTTATTTTTTGTATTGTTATAGCTTTTTATTATTGTGTCAGCCGTCCCCATAACGTGTGCCAACAAACACCAACATGAATTTACCCATGAATGCACTATTTTCAGGAAATACTTTCTGATATTGACGTTTTCTGCCAGTTGGTTTATCCTAATATATGATGTGCCTGACATATATGGCAAAGAGCTGAAAACTGCCAACCAGTCCTGCTCTCCTCTACACTATTCATGTAAAAACAGCAGGAATTAGTTTGCAAATTATTTTTTATGACTTTTGTTGTATGTGCTTTGTTTGTAAAATATACAAAACCAATTGAACCAACTGTAGCTCTGAAAGGAAACTCAGTCTTAATGCAAATGGTCTGCACTTTAAAATTGAAGGTACTTAAAGGGGTTCTCCGGAGCAATGCTACAGAATAGCATCCTTATACTGGAGTACATATGCCAGGGGTGTCCAATCTTATCTATAAAAGGGCTGGTGTGGGTGAAGGTTTTCATTCCAAACATAAAGAGCACACTTGATTCCACTTGCATAATCAGTCAGCCTCTGTCTTTAAACAACTGATCAAGTTGTTCATGCTCTGCTTTGTTGCAACGAAAACCTTCAGCCACACCGGCCCTTTGCGGATAAGATTGGACACCCCTGACATATGCCCTGCACGTTGTGCTGTTTTCCCTGCTCTGACACACCCAGTTCTCCATTTAGGAACATTTATTTTTGAGTGTGTAGGTCAAATGAAAGTATAGCACAAAGATTCGAAATGAAAAATACTGGATTAATTCTTTATCAGAGTAAAAAAGTCTCCCTTAATGTAAACATAACATCCATTCCTTCTTTCCTCTGTGATTTTCCATCAATTTCTGAGTGAGGATGAGATCTTTTTGCTCCGCTGCTCTGTGAGGAAATGTTCTAATTCAGCTCTGCGTTTTTGCTTCACCTGTTCAAGGTCCAAGACGACTGGAAATATGTTGCCATGGTGATTGACAGAATCTTCCTGTGGGTGTTTATCCTGGTGTGCATTCTGGGGACGGCTGGGCTCTTCCTGCAGCCGCTCCTTTTGGGAGAGGACATGTGACACTTGCACAGACGCAGACTCAGTGACCGGACCAACGGATTAAACAGAGAGACACAAAATGACTTTAGAAACCTTCTGTGCAGCTTTGCAGGCAGCGAATGCAGGATGTTTACAACCTGCACCAGTTCCTGTCTCAAGCCCTTTGCTCAAGAAGACTTTAAAACAGCTCCTAGTCCTTTGGACACTGTGTATTTCTTTCTCCAGTCATGCTTCTAAAGGTCTTTGGGGAAAAAATAAAAAAGAGCATCAATAAAATGTCACTGCTTTTTATAGAATTTTGATGTTTCTGACTATGATGTTACAGGCCTATGTATTGTACAGTGTCCAAAACACCATGTATGAGTTGCCATTTCTTAAAACAAATAAAAAATGTCTTTAAGATCACTTATCAGGCAAAAGTTGTCATGATGAGGATTTTGAAATGCTCTATAAATGCATTAGTGAAACTATGCTAAGTAGAGTATCACCATTCACTCGTTCCCTCGTCTGAATCTTTGCCTATGCTTTGTGAACAGTGCCATCCAGTGGGAATGTTAAGCAAGTGTTAACCAAATAATCATAACTGCATCACTGAGCTGTGTAGCAGACTGTTGATGTCGCCCTGTACACATCAACAACATATCAGTGAAGTAGCAGTAGTGAATCATCTGAATACACTGAAGTAAATATCTTGTAGATGTTCTGTTTATACATTACTTACATTAAGTAGATGTATTGTTAATATGTTACTTCCATTACACAAAACCTAACCTTACCCAAACCTCACCCAAAACCTAACCCTAACCCTCATATGTCTTTGACATGTTACTGAGAGCCCGGTGAGCGTTCAATCTAAAAGTACCACTTAAAATTGTCACCAATGCAGCAATGAAAAATGTGACATTTTACTTTGTTCACTGTAGACAATGAGTTATTTTCACTTAGAAAATCAACAAAACATGTAATTTGACTGGGGGTCTTCAAACTTTCGCATACAACTGTATGTTCGCTATAAAATGATTCATCTCTACAAATCATTTGTCCAGAAATATATTCAACGTGAGCCGATTTCAGTTCTTTAAACATTGGATTTAAAAAGTACCCATATAATGTCTAAATACCCTACACAGTCAAAAATATGAAATCACACTGTTGTTGTTTTCACTCTTATTGACATTTCTTAACATTACTCTGTGAAATACAGTGACTTGGCCGGTCTACTTGACATGTTTGTTTGGCCAGTGTAACCTTGCAGCCTCATTCACCATCTAGCCTCATTGCTGTTGTATGAAAGAGTTACGATGCTCCTTGTTGTTAAGCATTTTTCATTGCTGGCTGGGCACTACAACAACTTAACTAATCTATGCAGATATAAGACTCACATTAGCGAACCATATTAAGTTAAATGCACATATGAAATTTAACAACTCAATTAATTTGTGCTTACTGAATTCACTTTGGTGCTATTTATTTGACTTCATTGAGTACATATTACTCAATCAAGTATCTGTCAAGTATCTAAGAGATTACTCAATGCAGTCTTATAGGTGGAACCACTTGACATAACATTTTTAAGTCAATTTTACTCTTAATTTTCAGTTTTCCAAGATCATATCCACAACTATCGCTCATGTTAGTTTCCTGATACAGGTCATATAAATGTGAATAACTTTTTGCTCACCCCATCAGAACATAACATGATAAAGATAACAAAAAGTGCTTGTTATTTCATATAATGTCTCACATCTAAGTAAAATTATCATATATAAATGGTGACTGATGCCTGCTTCATAATGTGTCATACAGCTATACCTGCTTACATGGAGTCATATTGGCCTATTTCATATATAAGCTAATGATGGCGCTAGTTTGACCTTAATTGGGGCCTACCATCCGCACCAGTTTGACCACCATGGGACCACCTACATGTGCCTATGGCCCTCTCCTGCCATGCCAAAAACCTACATCCTCCTTATACCGCCCCCCCCCTTATTTAGACTGATTTGGCTGGATGTCACGGCTGACCCAAGCAACTTGCCTGTTTGTACTAATTGTCTACACAGTAATCATGTATTTAACTTCCATTCTCATTCTTTTTAGTTTTTCTTTCATTATTCATTATTGTGTCTTCATTAGTCATTTCATGCTCACAACTGATTGTTCTTGTTTCACTATTCAGTGTTGACCAGAGGTGAATGGGTTCCCTTTTTGACTCATGGTTCCTCTAAAGGTTTCTACTTTCAGGGAGTTTCTCCTTATTACACCCTTGGCTTGCCCGTTTGGGGCCTGGACACGGATTTCTGTAAAGCGGTTTCGTTGTGACAGTGACAGTTGCAAAAAAGCATGATTATACATAAGACGGAACTGAACTGACTTGAAAAAGCCCTGTCATTAGTTTAGAACATGTCTTTTCTTTATTTCTCAAGTAAGTTTGACTTCAGGGACTTCAATGCAAACTGACCGAACTATTCTTAAGTTATAGAAGTGTGTAATAGAACTTTGGGCCTGCTGGCAGGCCCCAGCCCCGGCCCCGGCCACGTAAGGGGCTAAATAGAACAAATGACTAACCATACCTGAGCTTGCCATCTAGCAATGGAAAGTATATCTTCATGTGTATGGGAACCGCCAATGTTAAAATGACAGTGCTAGTCTGTCTTGTGGTACACCATACTGCTTCAGAATAAAAGTGAGAGCACCGTTTAGACAAAGATAGCAGGGCAGGCAAACTCACAGACATGAAACCTATTCAACGTGTGGTTACACTGAAGATACAGAGATCTCTATAAGCAGAGATCTCTGAGCAGATGCAGGTATTTATATCTATAAACAGTTGCAGAGTAGGAGATTATATTAAGATCTTTTACTGTTTGTGAACAGACCTCAGTTTAGCGGTAAACAAAATGGTTTACAGAGTTCATGAGCTTCTGAATAACAGCTCAATGACTAAAAGAAACAGACACATTGTTTGCTAAAGAACACTAACATTCTTGTATGTTTTCTTCTTCTTCTTCTTCCTCTTATTATTATTATTATTATTAGAGTAAAAATTATCATTCTTACTGAATAATTGATGATGTCTTTACTGAAAGGAAGAATTGCAGAGAATTAGTTTATTAATAGATCAGATCATTCAAATATATTTGTATACACATGCATAAAAAACACATTGTTGCTGTCCAAAAAAAGGTAACTTTACAGGTGAAGGCACAATAAATTCTAACACTTTAGCAAAATTTAATGTAAATAGCTTTAATTTATGGTCATTTTGGAGCATTTCTATTGGCCTATTCATCCTGAAATGTTCACACAATGTAAAGGGCAGCTGCTGCATCCAAAAGACGTAGAAAATATTTTTATTTTTATTTTTATTTTTTTTAAGAGATAACATGCAGCTTATATATCAGCATAAAGCAGCTCATCAAGACAGTACAGATAAATTAAGCTGCTAGCTGCGTGAAACCATGAAGGTTACCACTCATTCCACTTACTTCCATAATCTGATTCAAAAAAAGGGAACATTTGTGCTGCTTTCAGCTGAAAGCACACTGACAACTCCATATTGTTTACACAGCAGAATTAGCATGCTAACATGCTAACCTCCTACCAAGCACTCTCTGACTTCAGAACAGAGCACAGAGGACCGGCTGCATCCTTTGTTCAGCTCTACAATGTTTGCCTTCGTTCTTTCACTAAGTAAGTGTCTCTTAGTTATTATACTGTTATAAAGTATGCTCTGCATGTTGAATTCCAACTCTGTCTGAATTTTCTTTTTAACAGTGATCTGTGTGTCTTGGTTAACTCAGGCTCAAGGTATGGATTCATCAAAATGGTACTGACATACTTCACTATCACAAATTTATTGCAATGAAATTGATGAAGTGCATAATTACAGTTGTATGTATGTGTGTTTTGTAGTGTCCCTCACAGGTGAAAAATTCCAACCAGCAAAGATTTATGGAGAGAAGACTTTTAAAGAGGGAGGAAAACTGCAAATCAAATGTAGCACGTTTGGTGCTGTGAACGATAGTGAGGAAGTTTTTAATTATCTTTGCAAAAATGGCATTGGAATAGAGATGAAAAAATCAAGGGATCGGGATGTTATTTTTACTATAGATGGAATAACAAAGGACTTTACAGGCAATTACAGTTGTGTCTACTCAGAGAAGGAATACGATGTTAAAGAAGCAAGAGGACAAGACTTCGAATCCATCTTCATTACGGTGAACGGTAAGAGTTTATAGCACTTCTCTAAGTAATCTGCTTGTTTATTGTTGGTATTACCACCGTACTTGGATTGAGTTTGTCATGTCTTATTATAGTGTTCCATAGTTGTCTGAGAAACTTCCAAACAGGCTATTTCCATTCAGATACTATTTTTATAGCTCTCTGTAGGTCTTTCACCTTTATAACACAATCACCTAACCACAATTATCTGAAATGATTGCAATTATTTAAGCTGACTTCAATCATAGTTCACAGTTATTAGATTTCTTAGTCATATTATGCTGCAGCAAACAAAATGTGACTTGGATGCATCGAGTTAAGGCAAATAAATGTAAACACAGAAAAGCAGTAAATGCATTCATTGAAACATCACAGCGTTTATGAAAAATTAAAAAAAAGTTCTAACTTCTAATTTGATGCTTCAACATCTTTAGATTGCAGCGCTGAGTAATGTTTGTTTATTTGTTAGCTATGTAGCTATTTCTAATGTTTTTATCATGTATGCTGGCTGAATTAGGGTTTTGCTTATTTTTTTCACTACCAATAATAACAACATGTAGCTTTTCTTAACTCTACCATAATTCTGTGCAACTGCACACATTTGCATGAGTGTGTATGCACTAAGTAAACATAGGCAAAAAAAATTACACTTGAACAAAAGTTAATGCAAATAAATTTCATTTTATGTAATTCTGGAGCATTTCTATTGGCCCATTTATCATGAAATTTTCATACAATGTAAAGGGCAGCTGTTATGTCCAAATGACACCGAAAAATAAAAAAAATAAATAAATAAACTTTTTGTTTGGAAAGAGACAACATGCAGCTCATATTCTTTAATAATGTCTAATTTGGTGCTTCAACATGTTTAGATTGCAGCGCTGAGTAATGTTGGTGTATTTGTCAGCTATGTAGCTAATTCTAATGTTTTTAGCATGTATGCTGTCAAATGAGTTTTTTTTTTGTTTTGTTTTTGCTTATTTTTTCACTCTAGATAAGAACATGCAGTGTTTCTTAACTCTATCCATAATTCAGTGCAACTGTAAACATTTGCATGAGTGAGTCACGCAAGTAAACATGGGCAAAAAAAAAATTACACTTTAATAAAAATGAATGTAAATAGATCTCACACACACTCGCATATTTTCCAAACCGCTTATTCTTCTGGGTCATAGGTGGCTGGAGCCTATCCCAGCAGTTGTAAGCAGATTTCATTTTATTTGATTTTGAAGCATTTCTAGCAAGCAAGGTGGACAAATTGGCCACTTTAGGCTTGTCAATACTTGCAAACAATGAACAAGAAAAGAAAATTCAATTATTAATCACATTTACCTATATGACAATTAATCATCAGCTTGTGGCAGTCCTAACTTAGTGATGTCATCCAATCTTGCTCATTATACAATAGGATGAATGCATCTTCTCTTGTTTACAGATTCTTTCATCCCTGCAATTATAACCTTGCCCGAGATAAGCGTGAAGGAAGGAACTGATGTGGATTTCAAGTGTACCTCTTCGAAATTACCTGACAATGATCAGAACAACAATTATGCCTATCTGTGCAAGAATGGAACTGTTATTCAGGTGAACATCTGGAATACAGAGAAGATGGAGGCAATCTTTACCCTAAAAGAAGTCAGTAAGAGAGATGCTGGATCATATACCTGTGGTCTGATGGCAGATATCCAGCCTATACCGAAAACGAGATTGCATGGAATTAATAAAGCAAGCCTTCATGTTACTGGTAAGAGCTTGACTAACGAACATAACACCAATAACAAAAATGCAGAAACTAGACAACTTGAATTCATTAGTTCAGGTGTGTCAACTCCCTACAATGCACTTATACATCAATGTAAACGTAAATAGCCTGAATAGCAGCAGCTGAATTGATAGTTAGGCTTCATTCTTAAAAAAAGGATGTGATTTTTAGTTTTACTTTGGTGTGGCATTGCATGAGAAGTGAATTACTGCTTTACTTGGCAGAAAACGTGAATGACACAGTAAGAATTGTGGTGGGCTGTTCTGTCGCGCTCCTGCTTGTTCTTTGTTGTCTGGGCCTTTATGGAGTCATTGAAAAGCAAGGTGATTTCCAGTTTCTAATTAATCTGGGACACAAAGTTTTTTTGCATAAGAACTTTTGTGGTCAGTCAGTCAGTCACTCCTAAATCAGTCAATCAATATGTTCTCTTTCTCTGCAGGATGGTGCAGATGCCACAGTGAAAGGTTTGTTTATGGCTATCTTTGTCTTTCTTTCTCACTGACGTTCATGGTTTTTCACTAAAATACACTCCTAACAGTAGTCACTGGTTTTCACTCGTAACAGTGACAGATTTTCACAGATCTGTTCCTTTTTGTTACTCTGATAGGCCTCTAACGGTAGTCATTGGTTATCACTGGTTAAGCTAAATACAGGCTGGTTTATTTCCTTTTTCTCTATATTTAATACTGTATATTAATAGTTAAATCCTATTCTCTGTTCATATTGTTCTTGTTATGTTACTGGTTCATGATCCGGTGTCGACCACAGGATGATGCGTTCCCTTTTTGTGTCTTGGTTCCTCTCAAGGTTTCTTCCTCTTGCCCTTAGGCAGTTTTTCCTTGCTACTGTCACCATTGGCTTACTTATGGGGGCTTAAACCTGGATTTTCTGTAAAGCTGCTTTGTGACAACACCTGTTGTAAAAAGCGCTGTATAAATAAACAATTACTTGTCTTCTGTTATAAATACATTGCTTTAAACAGTAATAACACACTGTCATATGCAAAGGTTTGAACACCTCCAGTCAAATGGACATTTTGTTGATTTTCTGAGTGAAAATAGGTTACTCTACAGGGAGCAAACTTAAATACAACTTGTTCGGCAAATGTTAGAGCACAATTTCTATTTATTTGCTGAGTTTAACACGTTGGAGAAAAACAACAACAACAACAACAACAACAACAAAAATATAAAATATAAAATGTGACATAACATAAATGTGCACAGGCCACATTAGGCTTTGTTTTTTGTCAACATGTCAAATTGAGTAAACAAGCAGTATCTTTGCTTTAAAATGTACAGAAAATAAGCATTAAAAGGTCCATTAAAGTGTGTTCCCTGTGGAGGATGTGTACTTATTTTCTCTTAGAAAGTCAACAAAATATTCAGTAAGACCGGGGTGCCCAAACTTTTGCACACAATTATTTTTGTGAAACAGATCGACTGAACATGGGGCTGAAGCAAGAGGAGGAGGTATTGATTCTTTTTATTGTTTTAGTGAATGAATAACTAAAGAAGGTAGAAAGGTCATTTTCAGAAATGTGTTATCTTTGTTTCCCATTTATGCCTCCATGTTGCATCTAGAAAACAAATAGTATGTATTACTGTAACAGATGACCACTGTTCTTTTTTCTTCACAACTTTTAAAGAACATATTTTATACACAGATGTAACGCAAAACCAGCCCAGGTAAGCAGATTTTTTTGTATATTTAACATTTTGTAATACCATCATATTTACATCCACTGACATGACTAAACACATGTGAAAAGCACAATAGCTGATAAAACAATACTGGGCATTTCATCCTGTTTGTCGTTTTTTTTCCTCATTTTAACTAAAACTGTTCTTAAAATGCTATGATCGGACTCAGCAGAGCTGTAGAGTGGGATGATTTCTCTGACAACAGTGAGGACGGTGAGTGTTTATATCATTAGCATTAACATGATAATCTGTTTTAACTGAGCAAACTTCTCCTTAAACATGTAGCGCACGCTAATGACGTTTACCTTTGCTATGAGATTTTTTATGATGTAAATAGTTCAGCTAACTGGTCTGATTTTATTCCAAATTATGTTATATTCAACTGTTCTCACAGATCATGGATCAAATGAGGATTTATATCAGGTGAGTTACTGCACACTTATCAATGACTTTCTGTTCTGTTGAACCTCAGTGTTTTAGAGCCAGTATGTTGCCTATAAGTTTAGTACAATATTGGGGTCTAGCCAGCCTGCTAGAATGGTGGGTCTTTATTCCCCCAAAAGTGTACTTTCTAATTGCAAGGGCAAGTATCAGACGGAGGCCAGCCTTTGGCCTGATGTTAATATTAGCTTATTAACCACAGCAGTTGAATGGGATTGCTTTTAAACTATCCTCGTCCACCACTTTCACCATCCGCTATATAATTAAGGTTGGCTTGACAAAACCAACTTGCTGTTCTTTGTATTATTGTTATACATTTTTTTTTGGGTTGCAGTTTAGAACTTTACAGGATTATTGGGAATTGTGTGCTTGTGCTTTTGGAATTGATTGCATATTTTTCATATAGCCTTTGTTTAAAAATGATTTTTTTCTCTATAGATAATAAGTAGCAGACTGTTGAAAAAATTCAAATCTGTCACAAATGATGTCACAAAGGACATCTTTCACCCTAACAACCACCTGGCATATCATAGCAACAGCCTAGTCACACCTTAGCAACCACCTAGAATACCATAGCAACAGCCTAGCAACACCTTAACAACCACCTGGGATACCATATTAATGGCCTAGCCACAACTTAATACCATATCACTCAAATGAGACATCATAACAATGGCCTAACAACACAGCCTAGTAACACCTTTGCAAAAGTAATTATGTCACTAGAGAAACTGAATCCAGTGATTCTTAACTTCATAGGCTATTTTGACAATCAGTGCTGGTATTAGCCTTTTCACGGCCCTAAGCAAAACCTGACTTTGGGCCCCTCAACTCAACCACATTCTTTACTCTTCAGTACACCCCCACATTCGTTTTATTGTTGAAAACATTTTGCCAGTAGAATTTAACTTCTCTACATAGATGATGGGACATAGGTGATCTGAGATAGGAGTTTTACTTTGGAGAACCTTGTTCTGCAGCTAGCTAGCAAAGAAACTAACATTAGCAAACTGATAAAAAAAGCTTTTTTTATTATTCAGCCCCCAACGTTGCTGCTTTGAAACAGGCCTGGCACAACAGCCTAAGCATGAGTAAAGCATCTGAAAACCACAGAGGGGCAGGCTAGATCTGTCCCACTAAATAACTCCCTCACGCTCTGTAGAAACGTATAAGACACCTTTCTAATAAATAGCTATGAAACATGCTGTCATGCTTACCATGGTGGGGAGGGTGTGTTGTAGGGCCTCAGCAGGTCTGGCACCATTGACAATATTAGTTATGTTATTAATAATGTAGTCGTGATATTGATAGGCTATGTGCTTATGTTAAGATTACAGTGTGAATTAATTTGAACTTTTTTGCATTTTCTTTGAGTAAATATGCAAACTCTACTGCCACATATGGATCTATGTATATTAAAAACATATCGATGCTACATCAATTTTGTTATTTTGACACAGAACGGTTCTAAAACAATATGTAACTTACCTTTATTTCTAAGTTTCTAAAGTATGGATTTTAACAATGTGCCTTTCCTTCATAGGTGTGTGAAGATGTGTAGAAAACCCTGCCAGCAGTGATATCTATCTTCAGAAGACTACAAAGCCCAAACAGAGACGTTAATTTTTTCACATTTTATGACTACATTTATTTTTTTTTTCACACTGCTAAAATGGCCTACATGCACACTAGTGTAAACTCTTAGTCAAAGCGAAGGCTCCAATTTATTCCACAATCTTTTGTAAATCTTGCTTTAAAATGGAATATGTTGGCTTGCAAACAAATTATATGGGTAAAAACATTAGCTCTTTGTTGATAACCGTTCCTTTCATTTAGCAGTTTTTAATTCCACATGTAACACATCTGATTGAGGTGATCAAGCCTTCAGAAACATTTGAATGTAAGAATTGAGTAGATCTGATCAGAACTGCAATAAAGCTCTGCAGGAGAACCACCAGGAGCATGGTTGGGGGTCCTGGTGATAAGATTAAACTACTACTGCACACATTTAGTCGAACACTTTCATTCTGTGTTAATGAACATATTACTGGTCATTATCTCTTGAAAAACAAAATGTTGATTTTTTCATGTTAATGTTTACAAAGTTAGTGTAACTTTTAGAGTGTAGTGTAACCTGGTTCTTGATGGTGAAAGACACCAAAATTTACAGCTGTCATTTTTCAGCAGCAATGCTGATAAAGTATGTCTGAAAAATAAATACACAGTACTGTGCAAAAGTCAAAGACCACCCTTCATTTTTTAAATTTCTAATCAAAACTGGCATTAAGTACTAAGCTATTATTTTTTCAGTGTCAAGAAAAACAAAACAAAACAGACAAACAAAGAAAATGCTTACAATTTACAGAACATTGTACAGAACCAAATATAACAACAAATGTTTCAGTATTTAATGTGTCCACTCTTTGCCTTTGTTACAGTTTCCATTCAAAAGTTTTGAGAACACAAGCAGCTTCTTTCTTTCCCTTCTCTCAATAGCAGCTTCTTCACTGCTCCAAATTTCTCTCAGACCCATAGTGCCAAGTTGCCGTCTCACAGTGCAAGGTTGGACAGAAACACGTGTGGATTTTTTTCAGATTAGAATTTCATGCCCTCATTATGCTCTTTGTTGTTATGACAGAATTGCCCCCAGCACAGATCTGCAAAACCAGCTCCGCGTGTGCCACATCGGAACAATGGATTAACCCCAAAGGGCACCGAACACCATCAAATTAAAATTTAGCAACCAAATCACATCACTCAGTTTCAACTGAGTAGAATATAGATGTTGTTTATATATGTAGTCCGGGTCACAAACTGATTCCTAAGCGCTTTAGTGTTTGAATTATTACATTTAGGCACTGTCACCATCAACTGTAAGTTAGATAGACTTGGGCAGCTGTGTAGGAGAAACAACCTGCATGCTTGCACACTGTAGCTGGTGTGCGTGGACTGGCATGTTTCTATTTAAATGTACCAAGAACCCAGCCAAGAACCAAAGTTGTGTGGGTCTTCTGATGAAGAATTTCATATTTGCCACTGGTCTTTTTTCCTTTCCTTGTCTCATCTGCACTGAACTGACAAGTTGTATCTCTTTCAATTTAAGAAGGGTCTAGCTGTTTAGCCACACCACACTCAAGCATTGCACAGGCCTGCAATGGTTTGTTTTTTGCCATGTGTGAGGAAGAGAAAGTGTGTGTGGGCCTTACTGAGCTTTGTATGTTTAAAAGCTGCAAAAGTTTGCTGTTATCCAGTTTGGGTATGTATACTGTGAATAGCTTATGAGCTTTAATTGTCATAACTGTACACTTATGGAACTTCTTTGACTCATTTCAAGCAGTGAGCAGAGCAAATAAGTGAAAGCTAGAAGTTATATTTTAGGCACATTTCTAAGGCCTAGAAAGACTTTGGGGTTTACTTTTTTAAGTTAATAATTTCATTGTGTCCTTTTAATCCTTTGTTTTGTTTTTTTTATCCCTAAATACCCACTTATTGCCTTTTTGTTTCATTTGCTATATTTCTGGACTATTAATTTATCTCAGTCTGGTTAAAATAGTAACACCAGTAATAATTTCACTTTATAAATGTGTCTGGTTTAGTTATCTTTCTTATGAGACATTAATCACCCAGGTTGAGTCTCTTACCTTTGGCACTGAGTAATCCTTAAAACTGTATTCTAAAACTATGAACCCGTAGCCTTGTCCTTTTAACCCTTTTTGGTGCATAGGAGGTAAGTGTGCTACATATATATGGGTCAATGACAAACAAGGTTTTCAAAATGACGATTTTTAAAAACCTTATTAAAAAGGACATGGTGTGCTTTTTATATCATATATTTGCAATTATTACTATGTGCATTTTATGTTTTTATTTGCATATACACACACACACACACATATATTTATATGTGTGTGTATGTATATATATATACACACACACACACACACACACACACACACATATATATATATATAGAGAGAGAGAGAGAGAGAAAGAGTGGACAGTCGTCTCAAAAGATGAGATTTGAGAAACAAATTTCAATTTGCCTGCAGTCTGAACACAGCCTTAGACACCCATGGAAAACTTTGTCCTTGAACTTGAGTTTATACTTCAAATAAGTAAAACATTATTATAATAATTACACATTTTAATGTTTTGAGGTGAGGTCAAACCACCTGACATAGTAAACCAAACCGTTCTAACCATGACTCAAAAATGACATTTTTTCCAAAATTTGTGAAAAGGGCTACTGATCTTGGGATTGCACATCAAGGTCACTTGGGGTGTATGATGCAATACTGTGTTCCCCTCTTTTGTAAACGTGTGTCAAAATAAAAGTCCTTTGATTTTTCGCGCTACCTGATACAAGTTTTCAAACATAAAATCAAGCCAAACTACATCATTTCGAACTGTATGTAACTAAATGACCTTTTTGATAGTTTTCTTAATCAGCATATATGGTTGGATGGTTACACCACTTGACATTTTTAGACTTTTGAAGGCAAAAACAAACTAAAATGAATTTTATATAGAGGCTTTGAAAATTAAACATAAAAGAGTTATTGTTGAAAGATTTGATATATGTCATGCATTTATTCATTTATTCATTTATTTATTAGTTTTTGGGAAAATAATGGACTTCTTCACATCTTGTCAATGACCCACATACCAACATTTCTCTAGATTGTTGGTTGGAATATCTTCGGGTTTAATTAAGTTTGACTTTAATTGTTTAGTGAAGTTAAATCCTGTTATTTGTTTGAAAATGCATCCATTTTATGTTTTGTGTTTCGATGTTTTTAGCATTTAGGCTAAAAATAACAATAAATAAAACCTCGAAAAATTGACATACTTGTTTTTTGTGTTAAAGTAAAAAACAACATCAGATATTCTAATATAATGCACCATATGTATAGTCCAACTGTTTAACTAACAATATACAGTCATATAGTCAGGTTCATAAGTATTTGGACAACGACACATTTTTGTATTTTTGCCTCTGTACACCACCACAGTGGATTTGAAATCAAGCGGTCAAGATATAACAGAAGTGAAGATTTTCAGCTTTAATTCAAGGGTTAAATAAAATATTTCATTATCTGTTTAGGAATTACAGCCACTTTTTTACATAGTCCCTCTATTTTTTACAGGCTCAAAAGTAATTGGACAAACTACCATAACAACAAGGATTATTTTAATACTTGAATGCAAATGCTTTACAGTCAATGGCTGTAGTCTGGAAGTCTGGAACCCACAGATATATCTATATGACTATATGATACATGATGTATGACTATATTCCACAAGAAATAAGCTATTCCATTGAAATATAGATACTTAGACCCATGTCTGTAACAGATATTGGTATTGGATTTGGGTAACGGTATGATACCATACTCATTTACTCATATTCATAAAAATTCACTGATACCAACATTCTGATACCAGCTGATATCATGTGATGTAAGCTCAAAATATGCTGCTGTGCTAATGAGCAAACGCAGTGAACAAGGCTCTGCTCACACAGAGAAGTGTCTACTGCATGCACAACATGTTATTTAGAGTGAAACAGCTTTATTTCAAAATTTCCATTAACAGAACTGTCCGTAGAGCCTACATGTCACGTAGCATGGATGGAGCGTTTTTGTACAATGTGAGCATATAAATTCACCAACCAATAATATGTGGTGTACACCCAATGAGTGAGTATATAAATCGCTGGCTGTGTCCGTATTCAATGGTCTATTCAAATGTATAGTGTGAGTCACCAAAGAGCAAGATTTCTAAAATCTCACTGTCTGGCTTTAGAGAACATTCCACTACAGCTCAACCAGCCAAACAAAAGACTCCAAAAAGTCATAAAACTCCATAAGTGAGCTCCTCGGCTGTGGAAATGTGAAGTTCAAACAAAGCCTCCAATGGATGCAATAAACATTAAACCTTAACATTGGAATTATTAACATGCACTTAAGCAGAAAATTAGTAAAAGCAGCAGCATGAACTCTCTCAAACATTTTAGGTTGTGAACTCAAAATGCAGTTGATGCCCTGTTTCCATTTCAGAGTGTGTCTGATTGAAATAGCAACTGCACAATGAGAAAACAAAGCAGGCCTCACCTCAAACAGCTATTCATACGAAGCACATGAACAGGTGTATGTACAGTTCAAAGACTGTGTTTCACAGACCAGCTTCTTACATCTGTAACACGCAAACAGAAATGTACAATCAATTCAATTCAATTAAAAATGTATTTGTATAGAACTTTTTACAACTGCTGTTTTCACAAAGCAGCTTTGCAAAAATCCAGGTTTAAGGCCCGAATGAGCAAGCCGAAGGTGACAGCGGCAAGGAAGAACTCAAAAAGCAAGAGGAAGAAACCTTGAGAGGAACTAAGACTCAATAGAGGAACCCATCCTCCCCTGTTTGACCCTGCAGAGCAACAAAACAATCATAGTTTTGTAATAGTGAATAAGAAGTTAATTAACCAAATCAGACATTATCTATAAAGGATGACAATGAAAATGAAGCCTATGATTGCCATAAAGATATGTAGGCATGAGCAAGTAAGGAGGTGAGTACAGTGTGAAATAGGTGTAAAATATCTAGCAGCTTTAGTAAAAGTTTATGTAACAGTCAGCAGACACCAGCACACCAGTCCAAGGAAGGTTAGGCGAAGATGGGCTATTCACTAGAGTTGCCATGACATCCAGCCGAGGCTTTCAGTGCAAGTTTAAGGTTGGAGGGACTATCTAAAATACACCTTGTGTTGATGAGTGGAAAGAAACATTAATCAAAAGCAATGAGAGAAAATAGGTTGTAATTATGTTGTAAGTAATATGCGCTTACTCAGTCTATCACATTTTATAACAATGATATTGATAGAAAAAAGAAAATCAGGTCCAACAGTTTTTTCCTCTAATAAACCCATGTTTAGTGTAAGAAACCCATGTTTAGTGACAGTGCATATTGCGTTTTAAAGTGATAATACACAATAGATTGTGTCAGGTAAACTAGAAACTTAAGTTTTAATAAAATTACACCCACTGAAAATATTTTACATATCAGGCAATTTATGACAACTTGTAACTGTTTGGAATTCCAGTTAAAGCTGCCACTGGCCAATAAGGGCTAGACCTGATCTTGCAGTGAGAATGATGAGCATAAACATTAGAGGACAACCAAGAGGGACAAACTGAACTAAAGCCCACATTTGCGGTTTGTGGTTTAGTCCACACTAACTTGACCGGAGACATGCATAGACCGACTGAGACAAACGCTTGAGCCCCTGCTCTTTTGTCCTCCTTTCAATGAGACTCAGTCTTGCCACAGGAATATATCTCGTGGATCAGCTCATGTTCCACAGGTTTTACTGCTCTTGGTTGTCCTCTCTGGGGCAGTACCGATTTCCCTTCAGCAACTCTGATCTGTCATGGATGCATGCATTATCACGACAATCCCACCAACAAATGCTCATAATCTCTTTAAGAAAGTTAAAGCTGCCACAGGCCAATAATTGCATATTTTGAATAACATCCAAGCAAAATGCCAGCACATGCTTTTTTTTTAAACAGAGATTTATGTGCGGCCTAAATAGAGTTGCAACTCAGTGGTTCATATTAATTAGGGTAGTGGTAACATTACAGCCATGTACCTCGAATATCAGGATTTAAATCCCTGCTCTAGTGGTAATGCTCAGGATATCGAACCGGCGATCCTTCAGCCCACAGCTTCGCTTCATCCCCTGCACCCCAAAATGTCTGTGCACAAGCCTCAACTTGTATTTCTGAACTTAGCAAAAGGGCACAAGCATTCGTTAAAACCACAAGCATGTGTATATGTATCATGCTGTGGTATCAGAGCATGCTTTCAGTCTAGTTTAAAAAAATAAGGCAGATGTTCAGAAAATGTTTACATGTTAATGCTGGGGTTATTTAGTTCTTCTGCATTTACACACTTGGTTTATCTTCTGTGGACGGGACTCGGTTCTGCAGTGTGTGTTTGTAGCTGAGTGACTGAGCCTAGCCAGCTAACAGTACAAGCCATGAACTAGCCTAGGCAATAGTGTCTAGGTGCGAACATGCACTCTGAGACGCAGTGATGTCACGTGCACATGCCCTGTCAGCCATGATGGCAGAAGCGGCTCAACCACATGTTAACATTGGCTGCTTCTGCTTAGTGAGTCAAGAGGAATCCTAAAACAGTGTCATCATCATAGAAAAAGAAAACTCTCAATAGCCATAACATCACTTAATCCATTTTCTATCTAGAGAATTCCATTTAATGTATTTTCCATCAGTTTCAAAAGTAGCTTGTTTGCTTTTCTTGCTAATAAACCCAACGTAATGTCTTATGCATGTCAGGACTGTTTTTCCTTTTTGTTTTTGTTTGTTGTTTCCGCAGAAATTCATGTAAAGCTGAGCATAGACCAGAAACTCAGTTTGTGAAAACCACTCAGATGATAACATTACACGTTGAACTGTGGGATATATATTTAACTATTGTCAGTTGCCATGTAGACTAATATGTCTAGGTTCACTACAGATGAATCTAATTAAGCATGTGGGGAGAACACGTTACATGTGGTAACAATAAACATTACGACTTCTTGAAAGGGTAAAACAGTTTGGTAGAACCACATGATACCTTTGATATAGAAACTGAGCTATCACTGGTGATAAAAATTGACAGTGGGTTACCAGCAGTTGTGTGTTGTTTCTGATGTTTGCAGCTGCAGTGAAACAGTCAGAGTAAATATGATGAAAAAAGAACTGGCAGCAACGTTTGTGAAAAGTTGAACTTTCAGATTTGCAAGTCAAAAACAGGCCAAGACTTGTCTTTTCTCAAGATACTCTTTTCAAGCCAAGAATTGCTTGATACTTAATACCATTTTAAACCCTACCAACATGTTGCTTTGCTTGTGTTACTGCTTGTACTCCAGACTGAAGTACTCTTGCTGGAGGAATTCATTGGCAGGTTTTAGAGGAAAAAGTCTATAGTAGTACAGTACTGTAGTTTTCATTGGTATTTATTGACTCATTGCCAAAAAAAGAACTGGGCTGTTTACAGTGCGCTTAAAAAAAGCTTCAGCCAGCAGCTGCATGATCAAGATACAGTAGCACACACAAAGTTGAAGTTGATGTGACGGGTTTGATCATCGATGGACACATGGTGCGTCACAATATGTAAGAAACTTCAGAATTTTTACATATTATTTTTTTGTAATGAATCAGTCTAACATTTGATGAGGTACAGATTTCTCATAATTTTTTCTCATTTTATTCAAGACATTTTATTAGTGATGGCAATATCAGTCTCCCCAACAAAAGGTAATCTATTTATTTTGTCTTTTTCTTCACACTGATTACATTTTATTAACTTAATTTGTTTTTCGCTCACATATAACCTATGATAACATTTTAAACACCTACAAAAATATGCACTCCTATCTTTTACGACTACTGATGCATCAACATGTTATTGTTTATCTTTGATCGATAGCTGATATCTGGCCAGCAGAGATTTTTGGAAGCACCGCTGTGAAAGCTGGGGGAGATATACAGCTAAAGTGTATAATCTTTGATAAAATGGATTATTTTAACCAGGTCAACATGTATCTGTGTAAAAATGGTGTTGGAGTGAGGATGGAACTGCTGGTGAATGAAAAAGAGCACGGCTTTATTTTGAGAAATGTTTCAGTGCTGGACTCAGGCAACTACAGTTGTGTGTACTCACTAAACAAATATCCTCTGAGGAACTTGAGAGCATTGGAACAAAACTCAATCCAAGTCCAGGTCACTGGTAAGAGACCCATGTTTTCATTCATTATCATATCAAAGCATAACAGTGTAACCAATCAGGAAATCAGTTTCAAGTTTAGATCAGCCATGCTTTGAAATCTACAGTGTTTCATTCCAAAATGCATTATACACCACTTTGAGATATATGATCGGAGTGGGCTTTACACATCAAGAAATATCAATGCTATTTTATCATTAATGTCACCTTTAGAGAAACATTTTCCATTATATGTCAGCTGTCATTCTTTTCAAAAAAGCTGTTACAAATGGATATACTGCATTATGGAGTGAAGCTCTTTAAATGAACTGGGATAAATTTTAGTGCATAACTGTAGTTCTATGTACATAATAAACTGTGTTTTGATATATAACCACACCATCGTTTTGGGGAACCTTTTAGTGCTGCTTTCTGTCATGTACTGTTGTTTGTATTTATTTTACAGGGAACTTCAGCAAAAATGAACAAAACTCAGTCCAATTCCAGTTCAATCGTAAGTGATATGCTCCATGTTTTTCCTCCAATCATCAGCACAAATAATTAATTTATTATTCTGTCTTGTACTGCAAATTGTGAAAATAGTGTTGAGGTAGAAATAAAGATGACCACACCATTGTTTTGAGAAATATTTTAGTGCTACTTTCTGTCATTTAGTGTTGTTTGTGCTCATTTTACAGAGAATTTGAGCAAAGATGGACAAAACTCAACTCAATTCCAGTTTACTAGTCTTTATTAGAGAAATAAAAAGGTGTTTTCTATTAAATGTCAGCTGTTATCCTTTTCAAAAACTTGTTGCATGAAAAACTATTCTAAATTGTTATACAGCATTTGAGTGAATCTTTTAAAATGAACTGAGATATGATTTAGTACATCATTGTAGAGCTACAGTGCTGTGATTTTCTGCATATTTTTCACACTTAAATGTTTCAGATCATCAAACTACTTTTAGACAAAATTAGACAAAAATAAACCAAGTAAACACAAAGTGCTGTTTTTAAAATGATAATTTCATTTAATGAAGGAAGAACGCTGTTCATTGCTATCTGGCCATGTATGAAAAAAGTAATTACTCCCTTAGCTACCAATCAGTTCACCACATTTAATCGACTGTTGGGCTCAATGTCACTAGCCACAGCCAGGCATGATTACTGCCAGACCTGTTGAATCTAAACATCACGTAAATAGAGCCTGTTTGGCAATGTGAAGCAAACTAGAAGGTCTTAAAGAGCAGCACATGATGAATTTCACCAAGAGTACATTGAAAAGTCATCCAGGACGTCACAAAAGAACGCTGACAAAAATCTAAAGAACTGCAGGCCTCGATTGCCTCAGATAAGATCAATGTACACAATACTACAATAAGAAAAACACTGGGCAAAAATGGCATTCATGAGAAAGTTGCTAGGTGCACTGCTTATCATACAGAACAGCTCTAGATGCCCCCCAAGACTTTGGGATCATTTTCTGTGGACTGATACCTCAAAAGAGGACCTTTTTGGAAGACATGGGTCCCGTTACATCTGGAATAAAGCTAACACTGCATTCCACCATAAGAACATCACACCAACAGTCAAACATGGTGGTGGTAGTGTGATGATCTGGGGCTGCTTTGCTTCTGCAGGACCTGGACGATTTGTCATAATTGATGGAACCATGAATTCAGCACTCAGAAAATTCTGAAGGAGAATGTCCGTGAGTTTGTGACCTAAAAGTACAGTTGGGTTATGCATCAGGAAAATGATCGGAAGCACACAAGCAAGTCCACCTCTGAATGGCTCAAAAGAAACAAAATTAAGGCTTTGGAGTAGCCAAGTAAAAGTCCTGACACTTTTTAAAAAGCGCTGTATGTACATCATACACTGCATTTTGATATTAAACTTTTGTGTTGAGATAGAAATACAGATGACCACATTGCCTTGAGAAACATTTTAGTGCTACTTTGTCATCTACTATTGTTTGTACTTATTTTACAGAGAATATGAGCAAAGATGGGCAAAACTCAGTCGAAGTCCAGTCCACTGGTAAGAAATCCCTCATGTTTTTCCTCTTAATCACATCAGCATAAACACTCATGAATTTTCTCCGCTTTCAGTAAATCATACACTGTAAACTGTGTAAACTATTATATTTTTAAGTTTCAAGTGTTTTCTGTGTTACATGTGCAAAGGATTGGTGTCAAACCGGGACACATATCATGGGTTTGGAGGCAAGTGCAGGTTTATTGTATCAAACTCATAGTCAAGTACAGGCGGAGTCAATGAGACGCAAGCACATAAAGATTCAATGAAGTTGAGCAAATTTGAGCAAAAGCACAAAATAAGATTCAGAGAGCATAAAACAAAACAGAAGGTCATAACCGAAGAAGCAAGACCAGATAAGTAACACTCCGAATCGTACAGCTTGTCTATCACAAGACTTTGCAAAGAAAAGAGCTTGGACAAAGTGCTTATATACAAAATGGCTGCTAATGAGAAACAGATGAGATAACAGATCTAGTATTCTGGAGACAGTGACCTCTGTAGGCGAGGAGGGGAGACATCAGCAGTGAATGTGACAACATTTGCAATCAGCATTTTTTGTCAGGAAAACATGCTAAACTAAGGCATGCTTGTCCATTGCTGTCCAGAGTGCAGGTTTAGGGTGTTATCTTGATGTAAATGTGACATGAAGAGTAAATATAAATATACAAATATATATACAAATATATACATATTTTACCAAAGAAAATTCCACGTCTTGACTCCTGTGTTTATGGATTCCTGTGGTATTACAGGTTTTCTGCAAGCACATTATATGGAAATTGCGCTGGCTACTCTTGTCGTTGTTCTTCTGGTTGGAATCATTATTCTTTGCTACAAAGTCAGAACATTTAAGAGTAAGTAATGCTGACAGCATCACTAAGCAGATCCAATGATTTAAGAGTTCAGAAACACATTACACATTGATAACACATTATTTAGTTATTTAGCCAATTTCTGATTAATAAGAGTAATTTGTTATTTTGTTTTTGCAGAGTTGCGCAACGACCAAGGACAAAGGTAACCAGTACATCATCACTGTCCAAAAAAAAAAGTTTCCTTCTTCTACAACATTTGAACACAGCAGCTGTCCTTCATAATTATTAAGAGTGGACCCATAAAATTGCTCCAAAATTACTTGGAATAAAAACGGATTTGCCTTTTTGCCTTTTTGTAGATACTTTCTTTCCCTGTGCAAATACAGTCTCTGTGTGTAAGCCCTTATTTCTCTGTCCGTTCTAAAGGCAGAAGACTGATGAAGATGATCTGAGTGACAGTGATGTCCTATATGTGAATGGTAATTGTCTAAATTCATGGTATAAATACTACTGTTCTTTTGAGAAAAACTAATAGCCAAATGATTTTAGCTTAATATGTTTGTTTGGTTTGTTATGTTAATTTTATCATCATAAACAATGCAAATCAGAAGTAAAACATGCATCATGCTGCAAATTGATGCCTGATATAAGAGCTGAGTCCGTTTAATAAGCTTTCTCAGTCATAGATGTTTGTCCTCTTTATTGATGTAAATTAAATACAGCACTGTTCCTGTCCTTGATTGGCTGGGTCAGGAGTGGGCAGGAAAACAATATTTTGTGGAGTGCTGTGGTCATTTAAATGTGGAAGCAGAAATTTATTATCCAAAGGAAGTCTCACCAAACAAATATGTTTGAGAACACATATACAACCCCATCTCCAAAAAAGTTGGGACGCTATGCAAAATGTCAATAAAAACAAAATTCAATGATGGGCAAATCATTTAAACCCTATGTTTCATTGAAAATGCTTCAAAGACAAAATATCAAATGTTGAAACTGAGAAATCTTAGTTTGTTTTTTTTTAATATTTGCCCATTTTGAATTTGATGCCAACAACATGTTCCCAAAAAGTTGGGACGGGGGCATGTTTACCACTGTGTTTCATTACCTCTTCTTTTAACAACACTCTGTAAGCATTTGGGAACTGAGGAGACCGACTGCTGTAGTTTTGAACATGAAATGGTTTCCCATTCTTTCTGATACAGAATGTCAGCTGCTCAACAGTTTGGGGTCTCCTTTGTTGTATTTTTCTTTTTACAATGGGCCAGATGTTTTCAGTGGTGACAGGTCTGGACTGCAGACAGGCCAATTTAGCGCCAAACTCTTTTAATATGGAGCAATGCTGTTGTAATACATGCAGAATGTGGTTTTACATTGTTTTGCTGAAATACTTAAGACCTTCCCTGAGAAAGACATAGTCTGGATGGCAGCATTTGTTGCCAAAACATGAATATATCGTTCAGCATTGATATAGCCTTCACAGATGTGCCTGTCACCCATGCCATATGCACTAATGCACCCCTATACCATCATGAATACTGGCTTTTGAACTGTGCACTGATACTAAGCTGAGTGGTCTTTAGCCCAGAGGACGCAGTGTCCATGATTTCCAAAAAGAATTTGAGCTCGGGCCCAGAGAAGGTGGCAGCGTTTCTGGATCCTGTTTATATATGCTTTCTTCTTTGCGTTCAAGAGTTTTAATTAGCATTTGTGGATGCAACGCCAGTTGTGTTTCTGAGCCCATACAGTGATTTCCACTAGAGAATCATGTCTGTTTTTAATGCAGTGCCACCTGAGGGCCTGAAGATCACAGCCAGCAAATACTGTTTTTTGGCCTTGTCCCTTGCATAAAGAGATTAAAGGATTCTGAGAATCAGGAGTAATATTATTATGTACCATAGATGATGAAAAGCAAATGTTCTTTGCTATTTTATGTTTAGAAATGTTATTCTTGAATTGTTGCTCTTTTTGATAGTGCAGTCTTTCACAGAGTGGTGAACCCCTCCTCATCTTTACTTTTGAAAGACTCAGCCTCTCTGAGATGCTCATTCTATACCCAATCTTGTTATTGACCTGTTGCTAATTTACCACCAGGTGTTGCATTACACAACTTTACCAGCCTTTGGTTGCCCCATCCCAACTTTTTTGGAATGTGTTGCTGGCATCAAATTTAAAATGGGTATATATTTTTCCAAGAACAATTTCTCACTTTTAACATTTGATATGTTGCCTTTGAAGCATTTTCAATGAAACACGGGGTTTAAATGATTGGGGTTGTATTATTTCTAGGGGTTTTACTGTCTATACACATCTATTGTCTATATATATATATATATATATATATATATATATATATATATATATATATATATATATATCTTACAGTCTGTAGTATTTGATGTCATTATCAAAGTTATTACCCTATTTAAAACATGTTTACATATGTCTAACATTTTGCATTTAGGAGAGATGGTTCAAATAAGTAAAAAAAATGATTGTACATAGTGTTTTATTGTGTAATGTTGTATCTAAAGTAGCTTTTTTAACAGTGTCAGGCTTGTGAATCTCAAAAATTTTAAATCTCCCAAATTTCTTCTTTCTGGCAGAAAGCGAAAAGAATGAACCTCTCCAGCCTGAATCTACTTATGCCAACACATAGGAGCAAAGAAAATGACTGAAAAACTCAATAAATAAATGAACGAATGAATGATTAATTTCAATTAATGAATGAATCAATGATTCATTTGAAAGACTAATTACAACAACTGATGTAAAGGACCAATGACACAACATCCTTAATAAACCAATGTACAAACTGAACTACATCGTCTGATTTAAAGAAACGTTAAGTTTTTCACTTTCATTGTTCAAAGGTGTTAAGGGCCACAGGTTGGGGGTAGATCACCCTCCTACTGAAGTTCTGTAGAATGTACAGGCAATGGGGTTTCACTGCAAATTTAATCTCAACAAAGCAATATGAATTTGAGAATGGTCTCATGTTATCCACACTATGATACACAGTTTACCAGAACTGATAAAAAGAACGTTTAAGAGATCTGTTTCCATCCAGGTGGACACAGATGGAAATGTTAATGGCTGAAATATAAACAATAAACCAGAGAGTTAATAAAATTACATTTGATAAAGAATACTTAATAACATCACAAAGGATTTTAAACAAAACAAACTGGTCGACTACCACCTTGGCCAATAACAAGAGGGCTGGTAACAGTGTGGTTAGTAAAGCTTCACCCAGCAGCTGCATCATCAGGCTGCTGTAGCACACAGCTAAGTTCATGTCACTGGTTTGAACAGCAATGGACTTATGGTGCTTCACAATATGTAAGTAACATTTGTCAATTCAACAAATAATTTAATGAATCTTTTCTTAGCATAGCAAACAAAAGAACTTCAGTAAGTTTTCTTTCTTTTTTTTTTGTTTTTCTGAAGGCATTTCATTAGTTATGACAATATCCATACCTCAAACAACAGGTATTCTCATTCTTTCCCTCACATTACATTACAGTACCTCAATTAGTAAACAGAATTTGTATTTAACTCCAACAGTTATGACTGTTATTGTTTTGGTTAATAGATGATCCTCCTTATTTCTGGCCAGCAGACATTTTTGGAAGAACAACAGTGAAGGCTGGGGAAACTGTACTGTTAAAATGTAGCATAAATATATCTTGTAAAAATTTCCACATGTACCTGTGTAAAAATGGTGTTGGGTTCAGAATGGAACTAGTAGAAAATAAAGATAATCATATCTTTATTTTGAGAAATGTTTCAGTGCTGGACTCCGGAAATTACAGCTGTGTGTACATGTTAAACAAATATCCTCCAAAGAACATGATCACAAAGGGACAGAACGCAATCCAGATCAAGGTCATTGGTAAGAAACATTATATTACATTATGACAGCATAAATAGTCATGAAGCTAATCTGAGGTTGAGTTCAGTCATGCTCTGTATAACACAGATGAACTTGTGAGCAATGTCTTAAGTATGAGTGTTTCTCCAAAAATACCCCAACATTTTACAAAGAATGATAACATTCGACAAACATACAAAAGTCGAGCATTTCAAGAGTCCATGATCTTGGTAAAGATGCTCCTTGTCTGCAATCCACAGTAAAACAGGCCTGAGCTGAGTTATCAAGGATTTGAAGATTAACAATGATGTTAGCTGGCTCATTAATAACCAGACAGATTCATTACAAGGAGTTTGGTGAAATGCTCATGTTTTAATGAACAATCTCTCCAAGTTTAGGGTGCACACAGATGAACAACGCTTTCATAAACTAGTTTATAAAGGCAATTGTTATTCCATACCCGCCCCAGGTTACAAGATGACATTGGTTCAACACTGTATATAGTGTTTATTATAGTATAGTCAAAGCATTTTATGGCCAGTGTTGGAAAAACAATGTTAATATTTGGTCAGTTGATGAACATAGAACAATAGATGTTAAGTGGTATTGACTTAACATTGATAACTGGTTTGCTAAAATGTTGAAAATAAGACACAGAATCAATGTTTTAATGTTGTGAATAACTTCAGTGAATTCAGGGCTGAAAAGGCGATGGTTAATCGACACTGATATTGGGATATATTTTAGCTTTGAAAAGCTAAGGTTGATTGAATTAACCAGATAATGTTCAATCCATGTACCTGTAAGATAAACCAGCATGAGAGATTGATTTAATGGTTTCATCATAAAATCGGTTTAAAGTTTAGATCAGCCATGCTTTGTAATCTACTAATGCAGTGTTTCATTCCAAAATGCACACCACAACACTTTAAGAGACTCTTGTTGAGAGTTTTACTTTACACATGCAAGAAATATCGTTGGGCGTTCATTCACCGACTGTTCTTAAGAAGACATTGCTTCTTAAAACCCACTTACGCTGTTTTATGAGGATTCTGACATTACCCAATGTTTTCTTCTTTGGGATTTGATCTTAGGTAAGAACAGAATCTACACACTGAAGAGCAAAAAGGTGTGAACAGTTCTGTGATTTAAAAACACATCATGAATCTGACGTAGACTTTTTCTTAGGACCTTTCTCAAGAACACATTTACAAGAAAACTTACGAAGATGTTGGTGAATGAGGCCCATTGCTATATATTTATTAATGTCATATGTTGTCAGAGAGATAAAAAATGGGTTTTCCATTAGATGTCACCTGTTATTCCTTTCAAAAACTTGTTACATCCAAAACTATTACAAATGGATATACAGCATTATGGAATGAAGCTCTTTAACTGAATTGGGATACATTTTAGTTCATAATTGCAGTGCTATGTACATATAAACTGTGTATTGATATATAACCACACCATCGTTTTGAGAAATACTTTAATTCTGCTTTCCCTCATGTACTGTTGTTTGGGTCACACTTTATTTGGATGGTCCCCTATAGATGCTCTACAGATACTTAAATCATTAACAAACTTCCTGGTGATATTCAACTAATTATCAACAACACTATGGTCTGGTTTAAGGTTAGTTCGCCTTGAGGTTAGAGTTTGGGTTAGGTTTAGGGTTAGGAATAGATTTGATAAAATCTTTCATACTGAACTTGAAGCTCAGTTGTATTTAATGGAAATTTAGTTGAATGTTGCCTAAAGCCAGACTGAGCATTTACAAAGCATGTACAGTGGACCACCCAATGAATGAATTATTACTAAAACATGACAGAAACTGCATAAACATTGAAAAAATTGCATAAACATTGCAAAAATTGCATTCCATTGCAGTGGTTACTGCCCACCTGTTATTAGGTTTAATGGGTAATTACTTTTTCACATGGGTGATGTAGGTTTTCAATAAAACTTTATCTTAAATAATGAAATGATCATTCAAAAGCTGCATTTTGTATTTACTTATGTTGTCTTTGTCTTATATTAAAATTAGATCTGAAACATTTAAAAAACAGAAGAAATCAAACACTTTCTCAGCACCGTATGTGCATCATACACTGCTGCCTTGAGAAACATTTTAGTGCTACTTTGTCATCTACTATTGTTTGTACTTATTTTACAGAGAATATGAGCAAAGATGGGCAAAACTCAGTCGAAGTCCAGTCCACTGGTAAGAAATGCCTAGTGTTTTTCTCTTAATCACATCAGCATAAACACTCATGAATTTATCTCTGCTTTCGGTAAATCATACACTGTAAACTGTACAAAATTTAACATTTATATTTTTCAAGTTTCAAGTGTTTTCTGAGAGACACATATCATGGGTTTGGAGGCAAGTGCAGGTTTATTGTATGAAACTCGTAGTCAAGCACAGGCGGAGTCAATGAGACGCAAGCACATAAAGATTCAATGAAGTTGAGCAAATTTGAGCAAAAGCACAAAATAAGATTCAGAGAGCATAAAACAAAACAGAAGGTCATAACCGAAGAAGCAAGACCAGATAAGTAACACTCAGAATCGTACAGCTTGTCTATCACAAGACTTTGCAAAGAAAAGAGCTTGGACAAAGTGCTTATATACAAAATGGCTGCTAATGAGAAATAGATGAGATAACAGATCTAGTATTCTGGAGACAGTGACCTCTGTAGGCGAGGAGGGGAGACATCAGCAGTGAATGTGACAACATTTGCAATCAGCATTTTTTGTCAGGAAAACGTGCTAAACTAATGTATGCTTGTCCATTGCTGTCCAGAGTGCAGGTTTAGGGTGTTATCTTGATGTAAATGTGACATGAAGAGTAAATATAAATATACAAATATATATACAAATATATACATATTTTACCAAAGAAAATTCCACGTCTTGACTCCTGTGTTTATGGATTCCTGTGGTATTACAGGTTTTCTGCAAGCACATTATATGGAAATTGTGCTGGCTACTGTTCACGTTGTTCTTCTGGTTGGAATCATTATTCTTTGCTACAAAGTCAGAATATTTAAGAGTAAGTAATGCTGACAGCATCACTAAGCAGATCCAATGATTTAAGAGTTCAAAAACACATTAAAGTCCTTATTTAGTTTTTTAGCCAAATTCGGATTAATAAGAGTAATTTGTTATTTTGTTTTTGCAGAGTTGCGCCAAAACCAAAGACAAAGGTAACCTGCACATCATCGTTGTCCAAGTTTCCTTCTTCTACAACATTTGAACACAGCAGCTGTACTTCATAATTATGAAGAGTGGACCCATATAAATGCTCCAAAATTACTTGGAATAAAAACAGATTTGCCTTTTTGCCATTTTGTAGATACTTTCTATGCCCTGTGCATATATCTAAGATCTGTGTGTTAACTCTTATTTCTCTGTCTGTTCTACAGGCAGAAGACTGATGAAGATGATCTGAGTGACAGTGATGTCATATACATGAATGGTAATTGTCTAAATTCATGGTATAAATACTACTGTTCTTTTGAGATAACGAACTTTTAGCCAAATGCCTTTAGCTTAGGATGTTTGTTCGGTTTGTTATGTTAATTTCATCATCATAAACAATGCAAATCAGACGTAAAACATGCACCATGCTGCAAATGGAAGCCTGATGTAAGAGTTCTCAGTCACAGATTGTGCAGACACCAGTCAGGGAGAACATGGAATCATACATTATTGTTGTAGTATCGTATACCATAATATGGTTACAAGTCCGAGCTATCTGTACCCTGGTCAAGTATTTGTGTCCGTTACCCATCGCATAACAGAACTGTGAAAGTAGGTACGGTTCTTTTTAGCTTATGTGGTCACATAATTTCACATGAATGGTGTTAATATTAAACACAAACTACAATAGCAACAATGGAGGAGCACACAAAATGTGTGAACACAGATGTATAACCCTACAGTACCATACCAGACTGGAACAGGAAAAAACGTGTGCTGTATGCCAACGTAGAGGACAAACATCAGTCTCTTTTGGTGTTTACACATAAAAAGGTAAAAAAAATATCACCTGTTTTGAAATGCGTTGCACAATTTGTCTGGTTAGTTTCACATGATCATTAGCAGATCATTTTAATTCGTTTTTTTCATCTGTTTCTACAGATACCGCCATGTTTAAGTCTCCCGCAGTTAGTCACAGACACGTTGATATCATTACAGGTAGCAATAGAGTGAACATGTTTGAAAAATTCCCTTAAATGTTGATTTTAATGGTCTCTTATAGATGATTTACAGATACTCAAATTATTAACAAACTATCTGGTGATGCTCAGTTAGCAACATTATGGTGATGGTTAGGTTTAGGAGTAGCTGTAAGGTTTGTGTTGAAGTTAAAATTAGGGTTAGGGTAAGATTTAACAGAATCTATCATATTTAACTTCAAGTTCAGTTGCATTTAATGGAGATTTATTTGAATGATAGTTAAAGATAGACTAAGTGTCTGCAAAGAAACTCCAGTGGACTATCAAAATAAAACCAAATAAGGAGTACTGAGTTGTATTTGACATTAGCAGTGTCAACACAGACACCATTTCTATTAACATGACATGCTAGTGTAGCATAACAGCACAACATATTAACTCACCTCGGGTTAGAGCTTTGAAAAACCAGCAGCTTTTCAGCAGTTGTTATTCTATTAACAACGTAACTACTACTCTTGTAAAAGACAAACAATGGCTTCATAAGGTAAGAACAGAGGGAAGAACAGCTTGTGGAATATTGTGTTTCAGGCTTCCAGTGGTTCACAGTGAGCCCACATTTAGCAAAGGACTTGGCTTAATCCATTTCTGAGAAACAAATATGTTTGAGAACACTGAATATATTATTTTTAGGGTTTTTTCTGTCTTTTCTATATCTTACAATCTGCAGTGTCTGAAGTCACTACTGCAGTTATTACCCTAATTAAAACATGTTTACATGTGTCTAACATTTTGCATTTAGCAGAGATGGTTAAAATTAGTAAAGAAATGATTGTACCTGGTGTTTTATTGTGTAATGTTGTATCTACAATAGCTTATTTAACAGTGTAAGGCTTGTGAATTTAGTGTTAAAATCTCAAAAATTCAAAATCTCCCCAATTTCTTCTTTCTGGCAGAAAGCACAAATAATTAACCTCTCCAGCCTGAATCTACTGATGCCAACGCTTAGGAGTAAAGAAAATGACTGAAAAACACAATAAACGAATGAACGAATGGATGAATGTACGAATGATTCATTGCAGTCAAGAATGAATCAATGATTCATTTGAAAGACTGATTACAAAGACTGATTTTAAGTACCAATGAACTGAAAAAAAAACGCATATAAGCACACAACAACCTTAATAAACCAATGCACAAACTGAATAATGTTGTCTGATTTAAAGAAACATTAAGTTTTTCACTTTCATTGTTCAAAGGTGTTCAGGGCTATAGATTGGGGCAGATCACCCCCCTGCTGGAGTTCTGTAGAATATACAGGCAATGGGGTTTCTGTCAGTCATTCATAAAAGCACCAACCATGGTTTGTTAAAGTAATGAGGAGTATATTAAAAGTAACTTCATCAGATTGGAGCACAAGTAGACAGTTCTTTTTTTCTTAAAACAACTTCTCTACAACATGAATCTGACAGAAAAGCCACCATACTCAATGGCTTAAACTCTGGAGGACTGTGTACCCCACTACATAAAAATGGTGAGGTAAGGTGATTTTAGGGAATAAATTAAAAGGTAACTTCATGTAATGATTGAATATGCCAGAAAAAATCCCTGAAAACAAAAGTCTGTGTGTTCTTGCTGTCCCTTAACATTTGATGCTTAAGGCCCAAAATAAAGCGGGGTTTCTACCATTCCTAACCCCAAAAAAAAACAAACCACAAAAAAAATATATATACATTACAAATGTATAATTAAATCATTGAGATGTAACACACAGTGTAACTGAATTCTGTATTTTCATTACAGTGAGCCGAAAACTGTTGGCCATTGGGGGCACATTGCTAAAACACACAGGATGAAGTGCAAAGAGGGAAAGTCTGTGCAGAGTTATAAGCCAGTTCTAAGCCCCAAAATAGCCTAATATTGATTTTAAACTTAAAAAAATGTAATGTAAGAATGAAGCTTTTATCAATGGTTATATCTCCCACTCAGTGCACTCCAGTGTACAATCTCACCTTGTCATTGTGGGCATGACACAACCAGTAACCAGTAATCTGATTGGTCACCACTCAGCTCATTTGCATACCGTATTTCCAGAATGAGTGAGCAGGGGGACAATGTGCGTCACTGGTTTCATGTGTCCGCTATATGTAGATATTGTCATCTCTCACTACATTACAGCACTGTTTGACACATCCTGATGCAAATTAGCCAAAAAAAGGCAAAGCATTTTGCCTGACGTCAGCGTTCATGTTACATACAGGCTACTCAAAATTTGAGCACCCCCAACTTAAAACACCTTCCTGCCTCCCTGTGTGAAATGATGGATTGTAGTAGAAGCTTAGGTTTTGATTTCTTTTCAATTGTGATAAGGACACAATGGGGTCCCAGTGTCCACAATGTAAATATAGTCATTTTATAGTCAAAACAAGCAGTGAACCTACAAATGTCATCCTGAAAAATCCCAATGAGCTGTTAATTGTCACATAAGGTCCAGTTTGTGATAATGGCAGAAGGCTCCTTGGATTCACAAAGAGTCCGAAAGGAAGACCACCTGAGCAGGGCATCATTATTTACTTTATCACTGCAAATTTAATCTCAACAAGGAATATGAATTTGAGAATGGTCTCATGTTATCCACACTATGATACACAGTTTACCAGAACTGATAAAAAGAACGTTTCAGAGATCTGTTTCCATCCAGGTGGACACAGATGGAAATGTTAATGGCTGAAATATAAACAATAAACCAGAGAGTTAATAAAATTACATTTGATAAAGAATACTTAATAACATCACAAAGGATTTTAAACAAAACAAACTGGTCGACTGCTGCCTTGGCCAATAACAAGAGGGCTGGTAACAGTGTGGTTAGTAAAGCTTCACCCAGCAGCTGCATCATCAGGCTGATGTAAAAATACCCCAACATTTTACAAAGAATGATAACATTCGACAAACATACAAATGTCAAGCATTTCAAGAGTCCATGATCTTGGCAAAAACGCTCCCTGTCTGCAAAATGGAATTGTAAGATAAACCAGCATCAGAGATTGATTTAATGGTTTTGCCCAACATCAATTAGTATTGTTGTAATCAAATTTTGCTATATTGTTTATACTTCCATTGCTTTGAATAATGTTAATAAATGGGACAAAATGTCATGAATTCCCAAATCAATAGTTTGATTATTGTTAGAATGTTTTCAGCAAACTAGTGCAAACTGGTACTTGGGAAAATTTAACAAAGAAAAAAAATAACATTTTTTCTTTCAGTGTTCACTTGAAAACGCTATATTCATGCTGACCATACCAGCATCTCCAACAGTTTGCTACTCCTACACATACTCTCCAAAGAATCTCAGCACAAAAGAACAAAACGTTATCTGGGTTACAAACACTTTATAAATGTTTATGCATATATATATATATATATATATATATATATATATATATATATATATATATACACACTCATTTAAAAAGTTGATAAAATTTTTACATGTTTTGATTTAGCACATCATCTACAGGGAACAAACATAAATATGGCATTTTTCTGCAATTTTTAGTGTGTGTTCTCCATTAACATTAATTTTCAATTAGAAAATGAACATATGATGTAATTTGACCAGGGGCACCTTAACTTTTGCATACATCTGTATAAGCATACAAATGACCAATAATTCATTCACTGATAATGATTCTTTTTTTGCTGTATAAGTTCCAACACTTCATATGGAAATCGCCCTGAATTATGTTCCTGTTATTCTCCTTGTTGGGTTGTTTCTTGGTGTGTATCTTTACAGAGTCAGAATATTAAGTAAGTACTGCTGACAGCATTTTCCTCTTTAATAAGCATATCTGAAATTTGATGTGCAGATCAGAGTTTAGAAATCCATCACAGTATTAAAATATCTTAGAAAGCCATCACAGTATCAAAATATCCTTAATGTAGTAACATGCAGGAGTTGATTATGTTAAACTCTTTCTAAATACCATTTTCTCCTTTTGTACAGTATCTCATAGTAAACAGACAAAACAAATTCGCCAACAATTAATAAGACTAATTTGTTCTTGTGTTTTGCAGAGTTGTGCCACAACCAAGGACAAAGGTAATCTGGATGTATAAGTGTGAGCATAATTAGAGGGGTTCCACAAATTTTGAGGGCCTTGTGCAAATACAGTCTCTGTGAGGCCATGTCTTAGTGGTGGGGGAGGACCTCTGACATTATTAATTGGTGTAAGTCTCAGCTTTTGTATCTGTCAAATAATGAAATATTAGTTCAGCTATGACACTACTTAGACATTTAAATAGTACACCAAAGCAAATATTTGAGCCCCTTGAGGACCTCCTCCACCGAGGGCCCCTGGGCTCCCAACTACAATGTTCCTCAATCTATTGTGCCACTGCTAGAATGTGCCTAAATTCTGAGTATAAGCTGTATAAACAGTTTCTTTCTTTCTTTCTTTCTTTCTTTCTTTCTTTTCTTTCTTTCTTTCTCTCTCTCTCTCTCTCTCTCTCCTATAGAGAAGAGGCAAATGAACATGATGTCATATATGTATATAGTATAAACCAATTAAATAAAAATGTAATGTTGTTTTCTTTTCTGGCAGGTGATATGAAGAAAGCACCTGCCTAGCTTGAACCTTTTTAAACCAATGCATAAAAGTAACAAAAATGGAAGGAAAATAATACATTTCACTGTGTAAATTACAGCATCCTCTGATTTATTAGTCGATTATTATCCAGAATTGTGTATTACAATTTTTATGTATTTGAAAACTGACTGATTTGTAGCCAGTGAATGAAAACAATACCTATAAGGATCATTTTGATATCTATAACATTTCAATCTCTATACCATTTAAGTGTATTTTTATTCATGAATAACAATTATAATGTGGCAAAAGGTTCCAAGCCTGTGAATGCTGGTGTACATTATCACCACTGGCAAACATGAAACACTGTGCTGGTTGCAGTGCGGTTAACAGAGCTGCCCGCAGCAGCATAATCAGGTGACAGTAGACACACTAATCTGAAGTTCATGTGACGGGTTTGATCAGTGATGGACGCATGGTGCTTCACAATATGTAGGTAACCTTTCTTGCTTAATGTTGTTGATGCAAAATAAAAAAGTATAACCGTTAATCTAGATTATGCAGAGAAACAAAGATATAGGACAAACAATCTTCTCATCAACTTTTTTCCCTCCTGGACAGACATTTTATTAGTGATGACAGTATCAGTCTCTTCAGCAGAAGGTATTTTATTTCTTTTTCTAACACTTATTATATGATATTGATTGGTAAATTATTTAATTTCCATATATAATGTTTAGAAACAGCGACAAACTTAATATGTGTTTATTCATGGTAAGAGTACTGATCTAAATTTTTACAACCTGTTTGTCTTTTTGATCAATAGATGATCCTCCTGTTTTCAGGCCAGCACAAATTTTAGGGAGCAAAACTGCAAAAATTGGGGGAGATATACGGTTAAAATGTGTCATCTTTGACAGCACTGGATCAAGTCACCACATGTATTTGTGTAAAAATTCTGTTGGGGTCAGATTAAAAGTTCTTGGACATAGTGATGAGCACATCTTTATTTTGAGAAATGTTTCAGTGCTGGACTCAGGAAACTACACCTGTGTGTACTCGTTAAACAAATATGTTCCGGACGATGTTACAGCATCAGGATACAACACAATCCACGTCCAAGTCACTGGTAAGAGATATGACTCTTTTGTTTAGTTGTATCAAAGTATGACAATATAAACTGTCACAACGTTATTTTAAGGTTTATATCAGTTATGCTTTGTAAAGCATGAAAATATTGTAGCAAGTAAGTTTTAAAGTGTTTTTTTTTCTTACCTAACATAGTGTATGTCCCATACAGTCATACGCAAAGGTTTTGGCACCCCTGGTTAAATGACATATTTTGTTGATTTTCAATGTGAAAATAAATCAACACATCCTCTACAGAGAACACACATCTGCAAATATTAATGCACAGTTATTGTCTATTTGCTGACTATAGCATATTGGGAAAAATTTCTAGCAAACATTCTATGTTTTCTTATTTCCAATATGGATCAGCAAATGAATATAAATTGTGCACTAGAATAAACTTGTAGAGGTTGTGTTAACTTATTTTTACTTAGAAAAGTAACAAAATAATATAACAATAAACAATAATCTCAACATTTTTTATGGCAAAAGACAAAAACACATTTCATAGATTCACATTTCACTATAAGCATTTCATAGAAGTCTACTTTTGGGAAGCATCTACAGTAGATCAGAAAACAAAACAGATTTTATGTAATAAACATCTGGACTGGATAAGCTGGCTCACTACATAACCTTGTATATATAATAATATAAATATATAATAAAGGTAATAAAGGTTTGCAACTTATTTCCATATTTCCATTTAAGTACATTAATGATGATAAGATCTTCCATATATTGACCACATATTGATCGAGTATATATATATATATATATATATATATATATATATATATATATATACACATAACCTGGAAATCAATAATAATGTCATGTAAGCCTGTTTACTGTTCGAAGTGTTCAAAGAGACAAATCTGACTTCATTTAAGTGAACAGATATGTATTTCCAATTACACATCTTAGTGTGCATGGTGTACTGCATGATGCATCTAATTCACAATGACATGATTATAGGTGTTCAGCTGGTAAAGAGTGCAGTGCTACGATCTGGAAGGTCCACTGTGGAGAAGGGAGAGGATATAGAACTGACCTGCAGCATCTCTGAATCTGAGAAACCTCAACTTCTTCACGTTTACGTCTGCAAGGACGGCCTTGGAAAAATCTCAAAATCTCTATATAATCAAAGTCACTCACATTTCTCCATTAAGAATGTGAATTTGGAAGACTCGGGTGTTTATAGTTGTGTTTACTCTGCTACAAAATATAATATCAGTGAAGTTACTGATACAGAGAGAGGGAACTCCATTCTCATTCAAGTGTATGGTGAGCAGTTCTGACCTTCTTTTCCTACTTTGCATTAACACATTAATCACTGGATTAAAATTGTTTTGTCATTATTTAAAGACAAATATTTATTTATTTATTTTTCAGATCCACAATGGCAGATCAATTTCACAAGATTACTATGTTCATTTGGAGTAGTCATATTTGCATGCTTGATAGTGGTTTATGATGTCTACTCAACAAAGCGCAGATTCAAAAAGATTCAACTGCAAAGCTCCTTCCAGTCTGGATTTACATGATCAGAGTCAGGACCTCAGGGTGGTCCATATTGTGTTCTGTCATGAGAGATCTTTTCCAGTGTGTATTTATTCAAACATGTACTCTTATGTGTACCCAGAAAAATAACATGAAGTACTAATATCGTTAAAGTTATAAATCCTTATAAAGTTGTGTGATGTGATGATCTCACCTTTTTCATTTATGAGACAAAAACAAACACTTGCATCCCTTTTCAAACAGCCATTAAACACAATTTCAGACTGGTTTGAAAGTGCAGCCCTGATTTTTAATATTTTTTAAAATATATAAAGATTAAAATTTTATTTTAAATTAGACTACGTTCTTTGAGGCGGCACGGTGGCGCAGTGGGAAGCACCCTCACAGCAATAAGGGCCTGGCTGGGCGACCAGGTCCCTTGTGTGGAGTTTGCTCACTGCGTTTGTGTGGGTTTCCTCCCGCAGTCCAAAGACATGCAGGCAGGCCAATGAGACATGCCAAATTGCTTCTAAGTGTGTGTGTGTGTCTATGTCTGTGTGTCTGCCCTGAGATGGACTGTCCACGGTGTTTCCTGCCTTCCGCCCAATCACTGCTGATATTCATAAAAAAAATATCAGATAAGTGGATTTCTACTAGGTCTTGGTTAGATCCAAGGGTGTACCAAGTGGGCTGCACTGGCCCCTCTTAACATCTGATTGGCCTCTTAAAATTCCCTGTCCTGTCAATCACCACCTGCAAGCATCTCACAGATTAACCTTTAAAAAAAAATAAATAAATAAAAATAAAAAACTTTTTATCCATTTCATAACTGAACGTTGTGCCTCTTGACTCAGAACATGACATTGTTGTCCATAAATAAAGAATTCCAGTCTGTTCTAGTTGTAATTAGTTTTAAATGGATGGGACTATTTGCTAACAATGAATAGTTCTTTCTCAACTCATTTCAAATGAAGCAATGTGAGCACTTTGTAAGCTGTGTTCACACAAACCACAGCAAATTTATTGAACTTTGACCCTACCATACACTTACTGTGAAATATACGGCTAATTAAGGTAATTTTCTCATTCCCTGATGTCATTTTTATAAAACAAAGAAAATCAATTTATAGTTTGTATTACAGGTTTTCCTATATTACACATAGATCAGTTAAAAACATATAGGTGTTTGGGACAACTCTGAGTTCCTCTAATGGGTGACTTATAAACCTTGCCACTGTACACAATCCACGTTTTCCATAGAGATATGAATCTAGTTCTAGTCATACAATCCACCTCCCCCTTACCCGTTTTGGAGGTTTTCTACATCTCTCTCTCTCTCTAGCTGGCCTTCGTGGTTTAATTAATGGTTATCTTGGTTAAGATTTAGATCATATTAGCATTTATTTTCTTTGTTTTGCTTTCTATTTTAAACCTGCTCAAAAAGAACCTCCATGGAAAGATAAAGAGGAATGAGCCAAATTTATAGTGTCTGTCGAGTGTTACAGTATTTACTGCACCTTGATCTACCACAACGCATCATCTAATCAAATTTATTAATTTATTAAATTTAGGTCTTGCTAAGGGCTGATCAAGACTGTTACAATATGATAAAACACCATTATTCACATGAGCATGTTAAACAGCAAACATAAATTCGAAAAATTAAAATGAGGCCTGCAATATATGTAAATAAAATAACCTGATCAGATTTAGCTTAAACTTTTACAACCCCATTTCCAAAAAAGTTGAGATGCTGTGCAAAATGTAAATAAAAACAACATGCAATGATGTGTAAATCATTTAAATCCGATATTTAATTGAAAATAGTACAAAGACAACATATCACCTGTTGAAACTGAGAAATTTTATTGTTTTTTTCTGGAAAATATTTGCCTATTTTGAATTTGATGCCAACAACACGTTCCAAAAAAATTGGGACTGGGGCAATAAAAAGCTGGTAAAGTTGTGTTATGCTAAAAAAAATACACCTGGTGGTTGATTGGCAACAGGTCACATGATTGGGTATAAAAAGCACATCGCATAGAGTCTTTCAGAAGTAAAGATGAGGAGGGGTTCACCACTCTGTGAAAGATTTAAAAATAACATTTCTAAACATAAAATAGCAAAGAACTTTTGCTTTTCATCATCTACGGTACATAATAACATTAAAAGATTCAGAGAATCTGGAGAAATCTCTGTATGCAAGGGACAAGGCCAACAACCAGTATTTGCTGGCTGTGATCTTTGGGCCCTCAGGCAGCACTGCATTAAAAACAGTCATGATTCTGTAGTGCAGATCACTGAATGGGTTGAGAAACACTCTGAAAACCACTGTCTGTGAACACAGTTCATCCACAAATGCAAGTTAAAACTGATATGTGTATGTGAGTATGGGTATACGGATCGAGAAACACTGTCACCTTCTCTGGGTCAGAGCTCATTTAAAATGGACTGAGGGGAAGTGGAAAAGTGTCCTGTGGTCCGACAAATCAAAATTTGAAATTCTTTTTGAAAATCATGGACACTGTGTCCTCCGGGATAAAGACCACTCAGCTTGGTATCAGTGCACAGTTCAAAAGCCAGTATTCATGATTGGATAGGGGTGCATTAGTGCACATGGTATGGGTGACGTGCACATTTGTAAAGGCACTAGTAATGCTGAACGATATATACAGGTTTTGGCAACATATGATGCCATCGAGACCCTGTCTTTCTCAGGGAAGGCCTTGATTATTTTAGCAAGACAGTGTCACACCACATTCTGCATGCATTACAACAGCACTGCTCTGTATTAAAAGAGTCCGGGCACTAAACTTGCCTGCCTGCAGTCCAGACCTGTCACCCACTACAAATATTTGGCACATTATAAAATGAAAAATATGACAATGGAGACCCCGAACTGTTGAGCAGCTGAAATCCTATGTTAAGCAAAAATGGGAAAACATTTCACTTTCTAAACTATGGAAATTGGTCTCCTCAGTTCCCAAACGCTTATAAAAGCAGCAGTATAAGCTGGCTCGTGTATTTTGGTTAATAAGCGCTGTGCTCAAAGTGCTCACGAAGAAAAATGTAAGCCCAGTTTCAGTTTCAGAGCCTAGTTGATTAAAATAGCAACACAAGAAAGTGAATGGCAATAGTGGTCAACACAGTTTCGTGAGAAAGCAACACAGGCCGCATCTCAACAGCTCTTCAGAAGCAACTTATTAGATGAATACACGGTTCAGAGATCATGATGTTATCAATCACCTTCTTTGTATGCAGTATAATATATATATATATATATATATATATATATATATATATATATATATATATATATATATATATATATAGCGTAATAATGTAAGAAGTGATATAGATGTATTAAAATGCACTGTTTAGTAATGGATGCAGATCTATTGATATAAATATACCTGATCTAGTTTTAGTGAACTTAAAAGTTTTAGAGCAATACACAATTGACTAATCTTTCACTGTTTTAACATTATATAGATCCAGTTTTTTATTAATTTCAAATAATTTACAAAATGACTCTTCTTAAACATGTTATGTAGAATATGACTAATTTTCTGGAACCAAAACATGAGTTGTTTTATTGCAAGATAAAATAATATGTAATGTCTTTTAGGTGTACAGGTTCTTTCCAAGAAGTTTGGGGCCATTTCTTTTTGTCCATTCATCATGAAATTTACACACAATGAAAGGGCAAAAAATGAAACGTGTGAAAAATGGAGATACAAGGTTTTGTTCCAACAGCAGTGACATGTTTTTTCAAAACATGTGTCAAGTTTGTAATATATTTCCATATATGTTTGCCAAATATGTATATATTAAAACATTGTATCTCAAAGAACTCTCCTTGCTTTCCATGCAAGTTAATGTAAAAAGATTTCATTCTAATTCATTTTGGAACATTTCTGTAGGTCTGTTTGTCATGAAATGACTTTACTGACATATACATGCATAGATATGCATATTTAAATATTGCAAAATGGCACAGCTAAATATATTTAGCACCTGTATTTTAAAACATTACATATTATCACGTATTTTAAAACAATATTAATAAAAATTATACATACTTATATATACTTTACTCATATTAATATATTCAAGTTTTTATTATGAGAAAATTGATTTTTTTTACACAGAAATTACTAGTTTTAAAACCAGAGTGCTGTTTAAACAGCTCTGTGCTGTCACTGGCCAATAAGAAGAAGAACGCTGGTTGCAATGTGGTTAGAAACTTTTCAAACAGCAGCTGCATGAATAGGCTGCAGTAGCATAAGCATATTCTGAGGTTTACGAGACGAGTCTAATCAGAGATGGAAACATGGTGCTTCACAATATGTAAGTTCAGTTTAACTAGTTTAAATGAACATCTAGTATAACTCGCAAAAATGTCGATGAGGAATGGTTTTGAACAGTTTTTTCACTACGTTTTTCCATCAAATTCTTTTCATTTTTTAATTCATCTCATCAATTTTCATCATATACTTTTTCCTCTAAAGATATTTCATTGATGATGAGAACAATATCGGTATCTCCGAAAAAAGGTACTGCATTTCCTTTGATGACATTATAGTAGTAAATAAACAGAAATATATTTGACATCCACATCTAGTATTTGGAATAAAACATCAGATTCATGTTTGTAATACTGATCTGAAGAGATTCATCATGTTACTGTTTTTGATTAATAGATGATCCTCCTGATATCTGGCCAGCAGAAATTTTGGGAAACATCACTGCAAGAGCTGGAGAAAATATACTGTTAAAGTGCAGCATCTTTGACAATCAGGTATCAAGTGACCAGATCCACATGTATCTGTGTAAAGATGGTGTTGGAATGATGACAGAACCACTTGGAAAGAAAGATGAGCTCATCTTCACTTTGAGAAATGTTTCAGTGCTGGACTCGGGAAACTACAGTTGTGTTTACTCGTTTAACAAATATCCTCACAAGAATGTGACTGCATCAGGAGAGAACTCACTCTATGTCCAAGTCATTGGTAAGAAATATGGCACAATATTTTTGTTGTTTTTGTATAAAAGTAGGGGAGAGTGGGGCACAACCTAACACCTTTTAACTTTTGCTAAATACTATTAAAATTATTTGAAAAAG